CCCCCCCCCCCCCCCCCCCACAACCACCTCAAATGCCTTTGATGGCGAAGAAAGCAAGAGAGGAGGGAAGGCTGAGGTGGGAGCGTGTGTGTGTGTGTGTGGGGGGGGGGGGGGGGGGGGAGACCGACTTCTAATATGTACTTTTTTCCCGTTACAAATTAGCTGATGTGTAACGAGGTAATTTAGGGTACTGATAACACTGTATGGATGATTACAAGAATGCATCACCAATAATGTTCAACCGAAATGTCCAAAACCACATGGAAATGCGTTTTACCGAGATATACGGTTCGTTTTTGGTACCTTTGAACTCCTAAAGGTTTCATCATTCTGTAGAAGAATGAATTGACATCGTTTCATGGTTATTCATTCTTAATGATAAGAATACAGACCATAAGCGAAGACGAGTTTGGTAATGTTAATTCAATAAAGAAAATGCATTTTCCCGCATCAATAGCTGAAATGGCATGTCAAATTCCCAAAACTGCATATTTATGTCTATGAAAATTAAAGCCCACATGATCAACCTGTTTTTTTCTAGAACTCGTAAAATAAGACATCACAAACTAAAGGCAGAACTCACGCACTATAGTAAAAAGGTCTAAGGTAAAATGCACTGCATTAGTTATACACTGGAATCTTTCAATACCAGATCTAGAGATAGGCTGTACAAAATTCTCGATAGACAATATAGAAATGTGCACCGAATCAAACAGAGAAATATCTGTGAATATATAATAAAAAATCATTCTGTGGGCCTGGTGGAGCATACACTGTAATTACGAGAAAATTGTGAGCAAAAACTTCATGCAGCTTAGGTGCTTTCTCTTTCTTTTCCTCTTTTTTTTTTAATCTTCAAGGTGTTTTGTATTAACCACGCAGGTTTCTATATTTTTCTAATGGACTGAATAATCGATCTGATAAGTCAGTTTGAATTTTTTTCAACTAAAGACCTCTAATAGTAATAGCCATTGTCATCTGCAGTCCTATCTGCTCCCTCTGATCGGTGTAAGAAACCGATGCTCCGTGCAACAGTTGAACTAAACGAAGAGTCCGCATTCCAACAACTTTACACGGAAAAGGATTAACGAGACGTAGGTGGGTCAAAATCTAGGACGAGCATTCCTTTGCAAATCATTGGGAGCTGGACCCTGTATTACTTGAAAGCTCGTGCGATATGTGTTGTTTTTGAAATGTTAATCATGGCCAGCAAATCAGAATCCTTTCCTTAAAATTAAAGCTAGATAACTAGATCTGGATAGACATTTGAAAGTTATTAACACAAAAATTAAAGACTAGTAATATTTACACATGTAGGACCCATCGACGTAACAACTGTTTGTTTCACGGTTCCTATGGTCAAGGTGGCAAAAATTACTTCCCAGGTCTAATTTAATTGAGTATAGAAAGAAGAAAAAGTGAATTAACAAGTGAAATCTTGTACTTAAAATGATCCCAATTAGATAAATCACCTGATTTTATACATTAAAGAGACCGCCAGACGGTCAAAGGGTTCTGCTCTGACCTTTAACATAAGAATTTGTACAGGTGCTTTTCACGCTCAATTAAGCTTAACATTGAAGGTGGTACTGAAGCCACTTTCTAGCTTATTGTTTTGGACTTGATTGCCAAGTGATTTATCCCTTTCATGCATTATCGACTCATACTATCTTGTTTTCCAGTCCCCGGGGTTAAATAAAAACGTGTGATGGGTCCCAAATACAGAGGCGCGTTCATACTGTTTACTCCACCATTCCGCCCTTTCTAGACGGGCTTCTTGAGAGGTCCTTTATACATAAAACGCTGATGTACCGGGTATCCATTCATACCTCTTATTAATTAATTAATTAATTAATTAATTAATTAATTATTTTATTAATTTATTTTTTATTGATTGATTTATTTTTATTTATTTATTTTTTTTTGGGGGGGAGGGGTATTATGGCCCAAGACACACTTCAAGGTGAAAAACGCTGGGTATCAGAATAGGACATGTGACATTTCCCACCTCCATCCCCCCTTAGGGCTCATTTTCAATGTAACTATCGGTCTATGTAGATTGATCCAACTCCGCGGGGACTCTCTCTGACAGCAATCAAATTGAATAACGAAAACAATGGGACAAGTTACAATAATGCAAATGTTGCAGGTGTGTCCATTTTTGAGAAATGTTTTGACAATGTTCATTCAACGATTTGGATTTATCTAAAAAAATTCTCACACATTCATCAGGAAAATGTACATATAAACATATTTGGTTATTTTTGTGCCCACCTATTCAGCAATTGTCACGTTAACCACAGCATCCACAAAAAGGTAGAAAAGGATATTTTCATTATGTGCTCCTAGCCTGTATTCCTCATACCATGCCAGTATTCTCTTACAGTTCATATTCACAATCTAAAAATGCGATTTATTAAGTTATCCCAAAGTAAAAAAAAAGAGAAGAAACATGAATGATTGCCCTCTTTGCCAACCCACATCTTTCCCGCAAAATACTCAGTTACCATTTTCTTACAAATGGGAGTATAGATAAAAGGCAGTTCAACATTCGCATCCTTATTACGAACCTAATCCAAAATCATCCATGACAGTTTAGGATCAATACATGTATGATCTGAATTTCTCTGCCGTAGACTTTCTTGACTGATTGAATATGGGTAGATGAACATCAATACTATACATCTTTGCATGTTTTTTCCCGATGGAACGGCAGGTTTAATCATTTTGACATGATAAATGTACAACACTGTTAAAACGGGAAATAAGAGGCAAGAACTGTGAACCGCCGACAAGAAGTAAAATTCAATTTTCTAACACCGAAACACAGAAACGCCTGGCAACCTGTATGAAAGCATAGTTTCACATCACGTTCATGTCGGCTTTCAACAAAAGCGTTTCGATTTTAAATGCAGAAGGCTAGACAATTTATGGTTGCTTCTAATCCCCTGCTATGCTGAAATTTGCACCTAGTGAGCCGATGTGGACGGCGAGGCTGTGGTTTGTATCGTGCTAGGACGCAACGCTTGTCGATTGACCGTTTCAGTAAAGCGCACACAATCATCAATCTTTAAATCATCAATTACTTTTAATTCTTTAAGAACTTACTCTCCGGTCTTTAATTGTTCTCTTCAATACTTCATTGTTTTGTCTTTTGTGATAATTTAATTGTACAATCCAACTGCTCTTAGTTTCGAGAAAAAATACTATCACTACCACGTGTATGATATTACGAGTTGGTCGTAATTCGAGTATCCTTCTCACAAGAAATTTGTATTTATTAGCTTCATTAATAACTTTTTCAGATTTCTCATTTCAGTGATCAGTGACTATCAAGGGTCATTGAATCTACACTTTACCAAATGTTGACCTAGCATTTGTTGAGATGCATGTGTGAATCTTCAATTTTGCGTGTTTTACCTTTAAACATACTCGACACCACTGGCGTTTCAAATGGACTGTTCGTTTTATTTTACTTTTCATTTTGACTAAACAGTGCACGCAAAGTTGTCTGTGCAAATTTTTTTACGACTGAAAAAAATGGACCAACTTTGAAATAATTATCTTCTGTTGCAGTTTTCACTTAGGTTTAAATACGAGAAATTGTGTAATTTTTAGAAGGGGTCACGATTTCATAATAAAGAAAGGTAAGAAAGAGTTTTTAAAAAAATGAAAATAAGATTATATTTGCAAGAATACAGTGAACGTTCCCTAGGACTCTTCAAACTGGATCCTAGTCCTAGCCTCACCTAGATTCGTGCATCTGTTCAACTCTATGGAAGTTAAACACATAAAAGCAGCACAGACACAATACGCCTACAGTCTCTAAATCCCTCAGAATAAAACAGGGAAGGCTGATCAATCTTGGGCTAAGTAATTGGTTGACAGTTTCCTTGAAACGTAGTGTAATACTGACTTTCTATCAGCCTGGTATTCACTAACTGTGATTGGTTTGTGCAAGCAGGTGAATCACCTCTATGGTTTGTGGGTAGGAAACTTGACGAACATTTCACAAGTACAAGGAGGGGAGGCACATGGAATTTGTATTCGTTTTGTAAGCTTCATTGACAAATTCTTCAAATTTCCATGCCAGTGATCAATGACACTAAGGAGTCATACCATCAAAAGTCACCAAGTCTCCACAAGCAAATACACATTGTTTAGTACAGTACGTCGTGGTTAACCTAAATTATATATAATACACGAAAGTTTCATTTTTCTTGAAAATACTCCCTCTTGTCACGAATGAAGAAACCAACCATGTTAGCTACACTCGTAGCATGGTTTTTCAAATGTCCTCTTTCATAAATTAACAGCTATTATTCACTGCCCTCTACCAACAGGTAGAGATATAAATGGATAGCTACAATAACATCTTACTGATCATTATGCAAATAATGTACTAGTTTCTGATCGAATCTTTTAAGGCTGTCATCTAATTTCCTTTGCTTCTTGTCTGCAAATGATGATGCTCTGATACATGCTAATTTGATTTTTTTGCATCTAAAACCGATTTTCCAAACAACTTGGTATGCTTTACTTGCAGAGACTGTTATTTTGTTTTGTTCTAGTGAAATTCTTCACTTAATGCTAAGATTCCATTGATTCTACAGCATCCTCAGCATCTGAATCACTTTCAAAGTCATCCATTTCAGCTCCTTCTTCTTCCTCATCTTCATCTTCACCTAGAGGCAGATAATGATCAATGTATAGGAAAGGAAGCATGCAAAATAAAATTCATCTAACCTTGGTGTGTAAGAGACCAGAAAGAAAAAAAAATATAGATATATATATATATATAAGTTATAAGATATATTTTCTGACAGACTTCAAAACTCTCTTTGTTGATCCACCCTCTATCTTTGACTGTCTTCCAACAGAAAAAATAATGTAGATACCCGCCAATGCAAAATTGAAACTCTGACCATCTTCTGGAAGACCCAGAAGACAGCCTTAATCTGCCCCTGAATTATATTAAATGTTTTAATACACTAAAACAATCCAGCTAAAGCTGACATATGGACAGACAACCTATAATTTGGAAACAGGGAGGAGTGACAAATAGTCATAATACAAATTTTGGGCCTGGACACCCAGCCCCTAACTGAAAATGCAGGAGAAATTTTTTGAAAGAATTATTCAAACAAATTATAATAACAATCCAATCAAGTTGGTTTTTACACTCAAACTGTATATGTATCACCCATGTTGCCAGCATCTTCAAAAGGAATGTGGACCCTCTCACTTGAAAAATGACATGGCATATACATCAAATTTTTATTCAGAATGAACATATGGACATACTGACCAAACCAAAAAGTCTGTAAAGTTTTTTATAATATAACACCTAAACCTAAATGCAATGTCCTCCAAAAAACATCAAAAGTTGCAATACTGTTGTCACGGTGCATTAAAAAATTCTGATTGATGTATTCTTTTTTTTTTTTTTTTTGACTGATCAGAAATCCGCAATTGTGTCACTGATCAATATCAAATGTTAGGTAATGCTATCATTGGTCAAAATTATACTTTATCAGATCTCGAATTCCCAGACATTAGACCATAATCTAGGCTAATTATATAATTTAGTAATTTACTAACCTGGACCAAGTTCTTGTAACAGTTCTTGAATGTGAGACAGCATTGGCTTGTCACTACAGGAAACCTTTTTCGATAACTGAAGAGCAAATTTTAATGTAACATGAATATAACTATCTATAGAAATACATCCTCCATGTCAAAATAATTTCAAGTTTTGTTCAATTTTCACCCAAATAAGCTACATGATATTAGTAATTGAATAATATGTCAGACAGGACAGCAAACAACTCCACTGTGTATATCTGGGTTATTCCAAGGCAAGTCCGAATTTTGCAAATATTACACAAAGTGTGTGCATCACTGACATAAATCAAAATTTCACTTTTGTGAGGAATGATTCTTGTTCTACTGGTGATAGTGTCATCCTGGGGAGAATACATTGAAGCAATCCAGATGGTTCAGACTTCTAAACTTAAACTCAAAGGCGATTTCTCAAATACTGGATTAACAAAAGATACCAGTTGCCACACAAAGAAAAGGGACACGAAAGGTAGGGGTGAGATACCTGTTAGAATAAACTGTTATGGATGCTTAAATGAATTTTTTTGCTATTACAGTGTGTCCTAATGAAGGGGATTCAAATAATTGTGCCTGTACATAAGGATCAAGGCTATGTATTCCTGTGAGTTGACTGACCTTGTCTGCCTTATCCAGGTAATACCTGGCATTCCCTTTATAGTCCTCTCCCTGCAGGTAATTCAACCAGCCAAGTAAATACCACACCTGAAATCAAGACACATCATTTGGTTTACAACCAGTTCATTCTATTCATGTGCACAGTATGCCGAAGTTTCTTCTTGTGCCTAGATATCCATTGTAAAGTAAAATACGCAAAACTTGGTTCAACCTACAACCCTTTCTGCTCTAGTTTTAAAATTTTCTATTCCTTTTTTGTCAAAAAGTTTGGCTTGATTCAACAATTGCCCTGTACATACACACCTGTATCACATCTTCATCCTCATCTAAAAGCCCCTCTAGTATTTCGCTTGCAAGCTGCAAATTAATCAAATTTTGAGATAGCAAATTACCTGACTACTAGTTTTTTCCTATTTAGTAGTTGTCTATTGATATTATGTATCTCTGACTGTAAATCTACAGTCTAGGAGAACAATGGTCTGTTCTATTCATAATGTTACATTTCTTTGGTAGTCACAGAATTAAGCCAACTTTTGAGCTAGTTTTCTCACACTTACATCATAACTTTCTGTTTCTATCAGTATTTGTGACGCATTGATTCTTGCTGAATAGTTAATTGGGGCAACCTGTCAAAAAATTAATAGTAACGCTATATAACATAGTCCATTCATACTTTTTAAATATTACAAAATTGTTATAAACTACAAAAACAACAAAGTGTTTAACCATTCTTAAAATATTTTCTAGTTATTACACACATTACTTTACTTTAATTTTCCCTACAATTGACACCCAGTTTTCCTTGGTTTAATCATGGATAAATCACTTTCCATTTCTGTGAAGTTAGACAGCAAATAAACCACTTTCTGGAGGCTTTTACCACATTTCACTTAATTGTTATAAAAGCTGGGCTTTTACCACATTTCACTTAATTGTTATAAAAGCTGGACTACTTGGGTGGACAACTATCCATCCATCCATCTTCTATGGGTCTTTACTTGTTCCCACTCGTACATTTTTTATGATATAGATATGGCACAGATTGGATTGCACACACCTCTGCGGGATCTTGCAGTAATGTTTCATTTTCCATTCCTTTCATCTTCGGTAGCCACAAAGAGACACTCTTTTCTATCATCTTACGTGCTTCCTGTAATAAATCAAAAAAGTATTAAAATGTTGGTCAATTCCCATTAAGGTCTGATCAGGAAGTCCAACAACAGGACAGAAACAGTTCGATTTTATCAGTCAGTGCCAGTAACCAAAACAGAAATATTTTATTAAATCAAATTTTATGTAACAAGATGTGATTATTATAAAAGTGAAATGGAGAATAATGTCATAGACTGTAAAAGAGACTACTGAAACCTACCTCCCTATCCTCTTTAGAAAGGAAAAAACTGGCCATAAGCTGATAAGCTTCTGCATTGGTATCATCTGAAGATATGGCTTTCTCTATATTGGTCCTGCATTTTTCTTCAGCAGCCTCCTCAAAACTATTTAATAGAAATTGTTTATCATAATTTTTGTTTAAAGACAAGTAAGTGTACTAAACAATTAAATGGCACAGAAAAAAAATATTGAAATTTCATTTATTTTTCCTCAAACACCAGGGCATACCTTATCCAAATCTGTTGAAAAATAATGATCCACTGTCTTATTTTTCAGCACCAAGTTTAATTTTTAGCATCACTGGTGAAATTCACCAGTTTTTAATCGCATTATGGCCTTTACATATGCATATGGATGAATTTCTGACGAGAATTGAAATTTTCTTAAAGCACTGCTAAGATGCAGGCTAGTGAAACTAAGACAGGGAGCAAGACAAAAATTATAATCACTTATTACACGCTTTCTGTTGAAATAAAGTATCTAAACTAACTTCATTCAAATCTATCATATGAGAGAGATCAAATAAAAAGATTACAATTCACATTAGAAGTACAGAAGTATATCTTTTCCATTTTCTAAACTTTCAGCTGACAACAACAACAACAATGTAGGTTCAAGGGGAATTGCATTCAAAAGTTGTCAATTCTACTGTCTGGATAGAAAGCTTAACTGTTTGAGTGAAAGCCTCTGGTGCAGGGTTCAATTCTGTGGTACCTGCTGTCTCTGCACTTAGTATTCAACATGTAGAGAATGGATGGTAGTTGTGAATGATAATTCCAAGCACCACATATGCCCCTGCTTGGGCTGTATGCTCCCCAAGGAAGTGAGAAAGATTTAAGATTGAACAGATCCATAAAGACCAGACATGAATTGCAAAAAGCCAGGAATTATCAGATTTTAACCAAACCCATACATTGTACAATGTTATTGTTACAAGTTGCAATAAATATATATCATTATAATTATTATTGTCTGACAGGCATAAAGTGCTATTACTCACCAGCAATCAGTCATATATATTTCAGCTATAGAACAATAGGCTGTGGAGATATCTTTACTTGATACCATTTCATCCCCAGAACCAGAGAATGCTGCAGACACCTACATGAAACAGGAATTTGGTTACATATAATAAGAGTGTAGATCATAGCCCGTTATAATACATCTAACAGCAGAGCTTGCTAAACTCCACTAACATCACAATCATTACGGATAACCCCTGATTTGCTACTTACATGTACCCCCTGAAATTCTCAAAATATAAAACAAAGTCTTAAGAGCCTTGTAACATTGCAAAGCAAGACCAACAGGTAGTAATGTTCCAATAAAATGCTACTTTGTTTCCATTCAAACCATGCCTCTTCCAAAATTTCAACTGGCCATGTTTAGAAGGGTTGCCTGATACACATTCTGATAACAGGTAGGCTTGTAAACAGTTTTAGTGCTATTGTAAGCAAAAATAGTTGCTCTGAGCATTAAACTTCTTCTTTTTCCTTTTTTTTTTTACAGTGAGACAGCAGTCTGTATTGGTCACAACTTTTATCCTGTCATTAACAAGATTTCATCAGGAAAATTGGCATGCAGGTCAACATTTGTTATTGAGTTATGAACCCCTGATTACAATGTTCCATTAAACAAAGGTATTTTTTGCCTTCATAAAAACAAAACTTGAACTAAGCCTTTCAAGAATAATCACTGGCATAGATTTGCAGTACTCGATGGTGTGGCATTAAAGTGGCATTGAAAGGGTGTTCATAGGTGCTTGGGTGAAGGAGATATATGAGAAACCACTTTTGTGGTCCCCACCCCCTCCCAATACATTCACAAACACACACACACACACACATACACACACACACACACACACACAAAGCAATTATGACACCATGTGTAAAATGCCATATGTGTAGGTGCAAAGAAATCAAGTCGGTGAATACAGTATAAATATTCATCTATTATCAAAAAGACAACTGCACACAAAAGCAGTGACTTAGGTGGTTTCGTCTAACCATGCTGATACAGGAAGAATCTTTGTGAGTTAGGTCTGCACATATATCTCGGTTACATATCTCTCGTGGATCAATACTTGGTAGGAGGTAGTAATATGAGGAAATGTTTCTCAGTTTGTAACAGAGACTAATTGCAACCCTGCCTAGTATGGACATGCAAAGACACTTGTTAGGCGGATGTATATGTTTCTAAATACATCAAAATAATCTGTGTATATCCATAAAATTGGAATTTTCTTTTTGAGTTCAAGCATCACTATTCTATCACTGAAACAATTTGCCTCAAAGTACTTGATTAAAATCAAGAACAAGGAAATGCCCAGAAAAATTAATTACTATGCAAATAAAGCAAGACAGCAGCCAGTACAAGCAAATTGTTTTGCTCAGTAAGAATATATGAAATACTGTAAAGAATAGAAAACAATCCAAAATCAATTTATCCCACCTCTCTCTGCTGCTGCTGTTGCAGCTCATTTGTCATCAACTCAATGCCCTTTTGAAAACACTGCACAGCTTCTGCGCCTTCAAACAACTGACCCAAATACATGTACTTGGCATGGCCTTTGTCTGGCGATAACTCAACTGCTCTTCCAAAGCACTGGGAACAGCTGTTAAGGTGTTATTTAAAAATACTACAATCAAACTGAATATATACCCTTCTTTGCACAATTAATAAGAAGAAGAAGAAGAAGCAGAATAGTAATAATAACAAAATGAAATAAATAAAACTGTAAAAAAAATTACATACATAAATACACTGACCAAAACTTCCAACGCAACACTTGGGTTTATTGCAACACATGTCATTTGCTTACACTAAATTTAACAATACATAACAAAGATTCCTATCAAAAACAACGTTTCAGAGTCAGGAATGAAGAACTGATTATTCCTGGATTCAAATTCATTGCATCACTTGAAGGCACAATTCTGGATCACCAAAGTCAGTATCTTGTATAACCTCCTCTGGCGTCACACACAGCCTGGATTCCGTGATGCATGGAGTCGATCAACTGCCAAATTTCAGCCTGTGTGATCAGGTCCCATTTCTCCTGGAGTGCTTAACGCAACTGTAAGACTATGGCCGTATCTGGATCACGCCACCTCACCCAGCGAACCAGAATATCCCAAAGATGTCCTATAGTGTTTAAATCTGGGGAATAGTACAATACAATCATTGGTGCTTCCTGTTTCATTATACCAACTCCAGAGACATGATATGGTTGACACACATCTTTGTGACATTCCGCCAGTGAACATACCAACGGCTCGCTCTCGCTGATTTTGACCTGGGCGCGGCATGGTCACACGTTGACCCAGGACAATGGAAAGGAATATTAAAGTTGCCCATCGCAACAGCTATTTATTGACCAAATTCTGGAAGGATTGGTCAGAGTTCTACTGAACCTGAGAGGATAGGCAAAATTCTAAACATCGTGCAATCAAGGGAAACAAGCTGCCCACACGACAAAATCAAAACAATTTTCTGAGCTTTTCAGGTATAGTTGATGTATCATGACTCTAAACCAATATCCCATTTTATGTACACCAAATATTTCTAAATTGTATGTGTTGCGTTGGAAGTTTTGGTTAGTATATGCAAAATATTTTAAACATTCTCATCCAGTTTCCGCTTATCTGGAGGCTACGGTGTAAATTATAACAAATCACTGGCTATTGCTTAACCAATATAATTTCAACGACTGCAAAGGATACTTTTTTTGCACCTTCAGAATCCCCCAGTTCCAACAGGAGTGTTCCTGAAGTCTCAAGTACTCTCAAATTGTCTGGATCCAACTCCAGGGCTCTCTGGCAAAACTTCTGGGCAAGTTCATAATTAAAGGTATCTATGCATTCTTGGGCCTAAAATAAAACAAAAAACATGACGTTTTGTCAATAACATACTGCCAGGCCATGCCTAATTGAAAAAGGCATGACTCTTTAATAAAATGGGAAATAAAAACCATGCTTTGGCATAATTCAAACCAAAAATTATATTTGTTTTTTTTTTAATTCACTGCGTTATTAAATATTACAGATATTAATATCCCTGAACACAGGCAATGTCTCTTCAATCCTTGTCAATTTCATTAATTTATTTCAGAGTTATATTAACTCTTTCAGACTGAGTTAGGGCATGTGTACAGATATTAGGTAATGGATACAAGAACATTTTCATTTCTAAATTCCAAACACTGATATGAATAACATGGTCACTGACTTAAATATTCATCATACCTTGTCAAGCAGCTGATCAATCCCATATTTTGATGAAGAATTCTCCTTCTTTGTTACTTCTGATGGCTCCTCTGGAAGCTCATTTTCACACTCTACCTTATCTGGTTTTGGTCCTGTAAAAGGAATACAGTACCCTAGGTAATCAACATTCTATTTATTGTACAACAAACCACAAATTCAAAATATGAGGCGGCCAAAAATAGAGACCACAGGTAACAGTTTCCAAAAAGCAGGTAAAGCAGCTATCTGACTGATTCTGCTGTCTAGAACTGCTTGTGATCTGCTTGCTAGAAACAAAACATCATTAGCTAATTGGCCCATCAACAGACCAGCAGTTTATCAAAACTCACAGAATGTACAGCTAGTTAGTCCACCAACAGGCGTAGTAGCTACGTGAAAGGAAGACAGCCAACCTAACCACAGTACCAGTTTTGAATTCTTTGGTATATTACACTTTCATAGTGACATCAAGATATCCGAGAAGTAAAATGAAGTACTGGTGTTTCAAACTAATGGCTTATGACAGGAAGCTTGTACGAGAGAGAGAGAGAGAGAGAAGTGTGTCTTGATAATCGCACACGATCATAAAAGTGATGATGCGGAATGATGGTGTCACCAGGTGCTGTTGACGTTAAACTTGAGCAGTATCTCATATTGCTGAATGAAGTCTGATAAAAATTTATTCAAGTTCTCGTTTGAATGCTAATTCACAATTTATAAACCAGGTAGTTAAATTATAGGCTTCTGTCTGTGTCAAGGCATAACACTTTACCTTTTGTGTGAGTTCTTTTCGGTTTCTTTTTATCTTTTTTGCGTTGAGGACGTCCCATGTTTCACTCCACATGTGCTTTTGCGCGTAGCCGTTCGACTTCCGGTTTTGCGTAGTAAGACATTTTTCACTTCCTTTCAAAACAAAGTGTTGAGAGCCGGTGAAAACTTCTCTGCATGTTTTATCCGACTAAATTTTAAGTTTCAAAATAACCAAACATGCGTCGACGTGGTATAGGCATGGGGGCCATCAAGAACAAGAATCTTGCACAGGTATGTAGGCATTTAGCCAATAAGTCACAATATAAGTTGTAACTGTTATCACTTGTAATTTAAAACATAATTTAATACATGTACATTGTACATGTACGGTACCCAGTAATCCCCCACATGTCTTTTGTTGTTTAGAACATTTATAACTGACGTATACTGTAGAGAAATTTCAGACCAGGCAAAATAAATACATAGATTTTATAGTTGCCCCCTATTTGTGATTTTCTTTTTCAATTTTTTTTTTTTAAGGCAAGATTTAAAGATAAAGGTAGTGAGCTAGCTGAAGACCAACTAAACCAGGTGAGCAAAAACTTCTTGATCTTAGTAGTGGGCAAGTAATTAAATAATGGTTGTCTTTTGAATATTTTTTAGCAGATGTGATGAATGTATTAAAATATTCTTAAAACAATTGATATATGTATTGTGCAACATAATTCCAGATGTCCAAACAGCTAGATGTTTTTAGAACACACCTAGAAGACTTTGCAGCCAAACATAAAGATGACATAAGGAAGGACCCACAATTTAGGAAACACTTTCAGGAGATGTGTGCTACTATTGGCGTGGATCCACTTGCTTGTATGTTTTATCTATTTGAGCAGTATGAGGGTTGTTAATTATGAAAGTGGACTGGCCTCTGAAGATATCCTGACCTTTATTTAGAAAAGATGGTCACTTTATGTTTTTTTTTTCAGTTATGTATAAACAGATCTTTGACCAAAAATGAACATGCAAAGAAAATATTTTTCTGTGCTGCTGCATGTGTTGTTTTATTATACAGTAATAGTTAAAACTATTAAAATCAAAATTACTCCAGTACAGTGATTTTTACAAAATTTAAGTTAAGGTTCTTTATTATATATATATATATTTTCATTTTTAGTTGTGTGAATTAGAGCTTTTGAACTCATCTTTATAAATATATTTTTAAATCGTTATAAAATGCATAATTTACATACATGAGAAATTTATTAAAAAAGTAATTAGTTTTCCTCGGTCTCTTTGTATGTCCTTTCCAGCTGGTAAAGGTTTCTGGGCAGAGATGTTGGGTGTTGGTGACTTCTATTACGAACTTGGTGTTCAGATAGTTGAAGTATGTTTGGCAACCAGCCATAGAAATGGAGGTAAAGGATAAGCCTGTTTAAAATTGAAAATGTCCTTCTTTTGTTATAGACCCATTGTTTTTGTGCTGTACTATTTTTATGCTTTATTGAAAATCATATGAACAAAATACTCATCACTGCATAATGTCTACACTAAATATACTGAGAGCAGTTATCTGTGATTGGCCAGCTTGAGAATAATGCAGCACATTGTTTTATTTCAGGTTTAATGGACTTGGAAGAATTAAGACAAAAACTTTTATCAACAAGAGGTAAAAGAAAACAAGAGATAAGCATGTAAGTATGAAGTAAGGTCAAGTGACACTTATAACAGATAAAAGTACCTGACAATAATACCTTAGTTTTTTTTTCTTTTCTTTTTGTTTCAAGTCATTTTTTCCCACAACAGTAAAGCATTTTGATTACTTGCACTTTCATTGATATGTTTTAGTTATACATTTTTCAGAGATGACCTAATGAGAGCCATCAAGAAACTGAAGGTGCTAGGTAATGGTTTTACTGTGATCCCAGTAGGAGGGAGGTATCTAGTCCAGTCTGTGCCCGGAGAACTCAGCATGGACCACACAGCTGTATTACAATTAGCAGAGGTAAGAATAGGTTTTGATATCAGTACGGTAACTATAGAAATTCAGATGTCTTTCCTTGTCTAATTTGCTCAATAAAGAACATTCTGTATACAGATGCATTTGCCCAAGCAGAGAGATTAGACATGCACTAAAATTTGGTAATTTGCTGGATGTTTAATTGGGTTTTTATGACTTGGAGGCAAGTCAGTAGCGCATTTGTCTAAAATTCATGTTCTGTTCAGTCATTGATGAATTTGACATCTGTTAGTTTAGTTTTTAATTGAGGTACTATTACAGCATCAGCTTGTCAACTTTATCAAAATGCTATGTTATTAGGGATTACACTTCACAACTACTTTTCATTTTCTTCTCAAGAACTATAGTAAATTAGATAGTTTAACAGTTTAGGAGGCACTAAAAGAGTTACATCATTTTTCTCAATTACAGGACACAGGCTATGTATCAATGAGCATGATCAGAGATAGATTAAAATGGGGAGAAGAGAGGTCACATAGAGCTGTAGTAAGTAGAGAGTGCAGCCTATTTTAAGTCACTTTCAAAATTTTAAATTTTATGTTAAGGTAGTATTTTTACTAGGAGAACTCAATTTATGTTGTATTTTAATTTTATTTTTTATTTATTTTATTTAAATTTATTATTTATTTATTTTTATTTTTGTTGCTTTCAGATTATCTGTTACTTTTTCATTGTAGGACTACATGTTGAAGGAAGGGTTGGCCTGGGTAGATGACCAAGCTCCACAAGAAAAGCACTTTTGGTTCCCAGCCCTTTTCAGTAACCTGGATCAAGAATAAAGACATTCATTTTTATTTTATGATCATTTAATTATTGAATAAAGCACTTTGAAGGAAACCAAGAAAACAGAATGTTTGAACATGGTGCAATGAAGTCTAAATTTTTATTCATTTAATCTAGTTCTTGGTATTCATAATATAATCTGACAATGTGAAAAGTTCTGTTTACACAGATTATTATCTTCTTGTCTGTGGGGTCATGTCGATACTCCCCCGCACCGTTACTCCCCCGCACCGATAATCCCCCTTAGTAATTTTTTGTATTATGCGCAACGATACGACCCCACACCGATAGATCCCCACATTAGTACATCCCCGCACCAATACTCCCCGCACCCATACTCCCCCTCAGTATATCTGTAATTTTGGGGGAGTATTGGTGCGGGGACGTATCGACATGTAACCTTGTCTGCTAGCTCTTCTTACAGTATATTCAGGCACTAAGACGCATAATGTCAGCAAAAGGCAGAAGTTCAAGTCTTATCTTTAATCTGAGGGATGTCATGACAATCCTGTAACTTTTTGTTTGATAACCTTATAATGTGATTATACAGTGAAAGTCTAAGATTTGATGGTACTTCTTGCCAATGGCAGATATCTTGCAGTGCGTCTTTTGCCATTAATGAAAAATGTGCCCCTTTTCAGCTCATTTAAAACATTTAAAATTATCAGGAATGTATCTTAAATTAAGTGGAATTGAGGACAGACAGATGTTTACTTTCTCAGCCCATTTTTTTTTTTTATTTTTGCAATCAAACATTTCAATTGTGGAATAATGAAAAATAAAGTTATTATTTTGATGAACTTTTCTCTCTTTTCGCCTTGTCTGTAGACTGTAATTTCGACTTGCTATGAGATAATAATTTTCTAATGTAGTGAATATAATTAAACATTAAAATAGTCGACTCTATCAAAATCAAAGCAGGAGCTGCCCTCACTCGAAGCAAGGAGTTATAACTCCTTGCTCGAAGTCGACACTTAACATTTTGTCTGGGCATTTTAGCCTCGGATAAGGCTTATCTTGTTGTAAAACGGAAGTAGGGGGCAGTAAAGAAGTCGAGTGAAACAGGCACGCTTCTCGTATCTACGAGTGGTAGGGGATTTACAATCACTCCTTTTCTCAGGTGCATTTAAACAACAGACATGATTCAATCACCAAATCAGCGAGTACTGGTAAGTATTGTGCTTACTTATTATGTGTCTGGTAGTAAAGCATGCGTGAATCTTGTTCTACTAGTCATGCCTCATCGACTCTTACTAGTACTGTACGTACATCTACCCGGTAATTGCCAGCACGAAAATTAATGCGTTAGCACTCCTGTATACGGTTTCTGATATGTCCTGACTGCTTTTGTGCTAATGCATGAAACTTCGCCCTAACTTCTGTAACAAAAGGCCTTTAGTTTAAAATGGGGTGGCACAAATTGCAACCATTGTCACCTTCGTTGGTTTGTCGAGCACTACGAAATTCATGCGTAAGCACTCCTATTAATGATTCTGACATGTACTGGCTGCGGTAATGCATGGAAGTAAAGGCTTCAGAATTGTGGAATGAAGACCAGTTTCTGAAAAAGCCACCGTTCAGGAGCTCTCAAATTTTATTTTTTCATCTCTTGAACTCGCATACTGTACCGGGGTACTTGTGTAAAATCAACCACTTTTCCCATTAACAGCGCTGCGCTGTGAGTAAATTAATGTCTATCTGCTTGTTTACAAGTTAATCCGCTGTGAAATCATACACACGCTCTCAAAGGGGGGAACAGCTGTGACAAGCAGACTTCTTTCAAAAAATTTGTTAGAGTACCAACCAGTCAGGTTTTACCTTTGCTTTACTGTAAGTGGCAGCAGTAGTAGTAGTACAGTAGTAGTAGTAGTAGTAGTAATAGTAGTAGTAGTAATAATAGGGTTAAAGGGTAATGTAAACCTGTGCGGTTAACAATTTTAAACTAAATGTTTGTTATTTAATGTCTTTCCTGTTTTTGCTAGCAATGGGCAACTTTCGCAAGAATCTGGTGGCTGTATGATGCACATATGCAGTGCCCATTCAAGTCATCAAACAAAATTGCACACTATCTACAAGGGAAACACAAACCAGTTTATCACCCTTTGAGTAAGTTGGATTCTAGACATCATATCCATCATGAAAGATAATTTGAATGTTTCCATTTGAAAAAGTCAATAAGATTACTTATTTTATAATTTATATTCTAGCCTTAACCAAGCAATGTTGATACTTTACTTCTCAATTCCCTCTTTCAGGTCAAATTGGAGATCATGTTGTGGTCATAAATTCCAGACATATAGCACTGAGGGATGATTTGTGGAGAACATTTATATTTTCAAGCCACACAGGGTAAGTATCATTTATTTAGACTAATGGAAAGCCTTCTTCGTTTCATTATTTACTAGTATATATTTGTACAAAACCTTACCAGATAGTTTAAAATTTTTTTAAAAGGTTGTTAAGTTTAAATGATATAATACTGACATTAATACATATTTACAGGAAGGAATTAACCTGTGTTAGTGTTTGCCAAATTGGGCACTTAAATTTGTTGTTTGAATTAATTGTTTCAGTTATCGCCGTGGATTTACCCAAAGAAGAGCTTGGGTTGTACATGAGGAAGACCCAACTGAGGTAATGTGTTGGAAGGATGCTGCATCCCACAACACTTATTTTTGAATCACCGTGTTAGGTAGCTTATCAGATGTGGAAGATACATAATAAAGAAATACCATTTTAACTTTTTTGGGGAAAGTTGATGTCTTGATAGAGGGTTATACATAAGGACCTGTTAAAATGTTATAAACTGTTACAATAACATGTCCACTTTATTGACAGATAATTAGGAAGTCTGTGTATAGCAGACTACCAGGGAATTTACTGAGGAAAGGACACATGGCAAGGTTACACATTTACCCAGATGAAGTAAGTGTTCATTGCAACTGGTGATTAAAGGATACCATTCTTGGATTTTTACCATCTTGAATCTCTATATTCTCTGTCTTCAACAACAATAACAAAAAAATGAAAATGCCATTTAACTGTTTAATTTACTAAACCCTAGTGAACAATGAAGTTTTTAAAAATGTAGCTATATATTTGTATGGTGTTTTAAGTTAAAATTTCCATACAGGATTGGTTAGTTAAATTAATAATTGTGATGATGAAGTGAATATTCTTGTGATCTCCCCCTCCAAACTCACACACATGCACGCATTTAGATCAATTTACCTTGCAAAAGTATAAATTTATATAGCACTGCAACCTAGTCAAATAATTGATGTAGTCCTGATGACTTTTTCATTTTCATTATACAAAACATATTTTTTTCTTCAGTCTTGAATTAAAAATTGTTACATATGAAAATTAGTATTATGGTTCCGTAATAAATCAGCTGTACAGAATGTTTTTTTTTCTCTTTATTAGAATGTCCCACCAGACATTTTGAAGAATGTGACTGATCAGCTATACCCTATTTTATCCATACCCAAGAGATTAGACCAATATACCGAAGAAGAAGTTAGGAACTTTCCAAAACTTTTTGATTGGTAAGTGTAAATGCACTGTGCTAATTTGGACCAAATCCAACTACTACATCATGCAGCTGTGATATATATCCTTCTAAAAACATTACTTCATCTGTGCACAACATGAATGAGTCAAAGACATATGGTTACTCCTCTTATTTCTTTGCATGATTTCCATCAATATGTATCTTTTCAACTTCTTATTTGAACAAGGGTGTTACAAGTGGATATCCTTCTCTTCAGCAACCCTATTTAACCTGTTTATCCATATTATGTTGAGTAATGACAGGTTTTTTAAATTGCAAAAGTGTAAAAGGTTGTCATATTACTCGATGTCACATGCTCTTACTTTGAATATATTCAGGCCTGAAGATCACAAGTTGCACCCAGGGAAACCTGTGGAGCGACGAGGAAAGAAACCAGTTAAAGCAAGTGAGGAAAATACATAGCGAAATATCAAGAGAAGTGGGCTGGTAAAAGCAAGGCCCTGATCAGGGCTCATAACAAACCTGTGTTTTTTCCCCTTTTTTAAATTACAAGCATGCAGTAGATTCTACATTAGCAGTTGGTTTGTTTCCCCTATGTTTGGCCTTTTGCCATATCAAAGGCTGATTGACCCATATTGTAGCCCTATCTATAATTTTGTTCTCCACTCAACATGTGTTAATAAATGGAAAATTATGGAGAAAGGAAAAGGAGAACTGTAATTTTTTTCTTTAAAAAATGGGGAACTTCATCATGTTTGAGAGAACAAGTATAGTAGGGTATAAGAAGGGGATGTACATGTGGTAACAATAATAATGTTGATAACTGTGGGTCAACATTTTCTGAGAATTTTCCATAAAACTGGCTTTGTTTGAGACGGTGTGCAAAATATGTCAACTGAAAAATAAAGCTGTAAGAAGGAAACAGTCTTTACTAATAAATTCTTTATTCTTCGAATTATACAAAACTGTTGAGGAGTTTAAACTGGCAAAAATATCCAAGTGGTATCATTTTATACTTGCAAATAAACATGCTGCATTGTGATGCCTTTTGATTGTTACTAGTATCTGTCATGTGAAAATCTTTATCAAACTGAACAAACATGTCACTACTTTGCTGTTGTAATAAGAGCCCTCAAATGACAGTTATGAAGTTGATATCACATCATAAAGCTGAATTTGTAACACGAGAAGTGTTACAAGTTATACAGTATGAAAATTGTGTTCAAATGTCTGTAAATATCTTAGTTTAAGTACCTGCTCTAAATCAGTCAAAAGTCACCACACTTACAACTTTGGAACTCTGTATGATTTATACAGAGGACTGTTCATTTGGTATGATTTTTTTAGATGACATAATTGTCTCTTTTTTACACTGTAAAGGTGTTATGTGAACTAGTAAGATTATTGACTTCAGTATGGTCAACCTATGAGGAAAGTTTTTATTTTTTTAATGAAACGTCCTTTTAACAGCGCCAAAAGTCATAATAAATATTTATTATTACTGAAATGATATCATTAAAAAAACAGCAGCGTTTACATATAGTGCTTAAAGCAAAGCTTCAAAACTGTGCATAAATCTTACAGGATACATTCTATGGCAATAAGAGGAAGAACAACATAGCATCAAAATGCTTTCCCTTCAGAAACAGTGGGTAAACTGTTTTTGTATTAGTGCTTTAAAACACCGCAACAATTTTGATGCATTCTATACTTTAAACAATTATAATTCTGCACAGCAAATTAATATATGTCCATACTCCATAGTTAAGTATTATACTCCTCATTAAGTATATCATATTTTAGCTACACTACATGGAAAACTACTTGTAAACATATGATGTAGCACATGAAGATTTTATACCATTGTATTACTTTCAATGTGTGCAAGCAAATTTCACAAATTTTACTTGGCCTGCATGATAAAACATTTAAAAATGCGTTATTGGAAATGTGGAGTTTTAGCACAGTATTACATCACAGATATAACACTAAATGTCTACAGTATATATAGTTTCACAACAATACCTCTAACTATAGTGTATAAAATACTGAAAGCACAATAAAGGCTCAAAAGTTTGAAAAACACTATTAAAATACAATTGCTATATGATATCAAATGATGGCAGTGGAAGGCTGATTGCATCTGTGTTGAATTTTTTTTCCTTTTTTTTAATACTGCGTCCTAATAGTCCACGCATATTTAAGACTGCCTGATGTGTTCTTAGAAGTGCTAGGCAGTCACAGCAGCTGTTGATGTCTGGCATTATAATGGTTGCCATTTTCACTAACCTGGAGCGCCTGTACACTGGCAGCATATTGGAACTGATGAGGTGCTGAGTTGATCATAAATAACAATTTTCTGGCAGCATTACAATTTTTTTTTCAAATTTACAGTTGAACAATTTCATCACACCCTAGTCTGCTAATTAACATTGGGAAAGCCAGAATTATTATTAAACATTATAAGTAGCTGTCAAGATATTTAACATTATCCCATCACAGACATAATATTTACTGATTTGCATAGGCGCGCAAAGACTTAAAACACACAGAAGGAACCTTAATAATGAAATAAACCTGGCTGCACCAATTCATGTAGCCTTTGACACTTGTCTGTAATCATACATATATTTATATTCTTATATTTACACAAGTGTATTATCTGACTTTAGCCTATCACTTAATGCAAAGTAATTTCGCTTAACTGTGCTACAGTGCATATATATATGTTTTGTTATAGGTAAATCAGAACAGAATGACAGCTACTTTTCTAGGAAAGTAAATTCTACAAGAAAGCAACATGTTTAACTAGTCTAACTACTAAGTATACATAATAAAGAAAATGCTAAGATACAGAGAGCATGTGACCTTCTGCATCTGCTGGGAACAAATGAAACGAGAACAGTTCTAATAGTAATATGTTAAATATGTATGTGCAGTTTTACAATTATGGTGCACAACCAAGACCTAATAGACCTGCTAAACAAGACATCATAAAGAAGATATTCCCCAAATCAGGACAATCATTTTACACTTTTGCCTTATTTGACAAGACAATCAGCTGCTGCTTGTCGAAGTATCTGTTTTGTTTTGTAAATTATATAATCAATTTGCATAGTATTTATTACATCAGCAGTGTAAAATGAGTGTTTAACCCAAACATCTATAATTCTCCAAGCTAATATAGAAGTTTAATAGTTTTAAGATGTAGAAAAAGTGCAGTAATATAAAAAAGAAACTAGTGCTACTTTTGAAAAGTATACAGATTGGGCTATATATAAAAGATAAGTATCAGAAAACATGCCAGTATTCATTGTAAATGAAAAGCGCATGACAAAAAAGTATTTGTCTACTTGTCCCATATCCATCTAAAATCTAAATATGCTACAAAAACTGGTTTGGAAATCATCAATTCCTTTGAGAGATAGATTTGTGCATTCAGAAGATATCGTGCAATAATTTTTACAAGCTAACTCGATACCGTATTCAAGAGGATGGGGTACATATGGCTATTTAAATAAGCAACTGTGAATTAATTTGCTGTCAGTTAATCTCCTAGGCCTCAATATATATAGTTTCAATACTTTGTCCTTATTACAGTTACAATTCATTCTGATTAAATTTACCACCTTTATCCTTGTGAATACGGTTCATAAAAAGCCTTTCCCAAATGCAAAAGTTTGAAGTAAATAAAAAGTGCACGCAAGAACTACTGTAACCAATGATAATGATGCTGTAAAGAAAAGTCTTCAGAGTTTGTGGTGCCTCCATGCATATCAGCAAGCGTGGAACAAAAGAACATGAGATCGAAGGTGAGGAATTACCCTGCATTACTGGACTCGCGGAGCAGCTAAAGTCATTGCCTGCAATGGTCACCTCAGCACGATTTCTTATGAAAAATGCCCATGGCCATGTCCTTGTGATAGTATTAGTGATAGGAACAGATGTGACAGAGATCCTCTTCTGCACTCTAAGCCAGTTCATATCAACTATTTGAAGAGCAAACAGTTCACTGAATGGGTTAGAATCCAGAAAAGTGCTATCCCTCACATAAATTGGCGTAAATGAAATGGAAGCCCTGTGTTTAGATTTGATAAGTTATAAGATCACAAGTGTGGTGCATGTTCCCAGTGAAGGGAACAGACATGGCCAGTGAGCAAATGAGGCACCAAATACTGATAATAAGGATTAAATCTCATCCTCAAGTGGTTTACTTCATTTTTGAGGACCCTTGTGGTTTTGTCTATATAGCTGAGCTTGCTCTTGCTGATAACGTATTAAATACTGGGCAGGCGTCTCTGCCCCAGCATGTCTTATCCCACCACTACTCTGTCCACTACTCTGACCACCAGGGTAGTTACAGTAGTTACAATAGCCTGGCTGACCAGGATGACCTGGGGGACCTGGACGGCCAGAGCGACCGGTCATTCCGGGAGGTCCTGAAGGACCTGGTCGACCTGGCAGACTCCTTCCTGGAGGACCTTGTGGACCTATTGAAAATTTAAAATTTCATTGATGAATAAAAATAATTTAAGAATAAGAGATTAGAAATTGTGTGATTAAGCCACAGGAGGGAATTTTTGTGACTGATTATCATAAAATGCCTCCTTTAAAACATTTGGATTTCATTCGTTTTAAAAAGAACTCCACAATTTGACATCTGGCAAGGAGTCTTAATTTATCATAGTGAGAGATGGTTATGAATTTTTATTAGGACAACGTCAATACAAAAAGTGGCCTGGAAATTGGAATACAGTGTAGCAATGAGGGACTTAGGTGACATTGACATAGGAGACAGGAAAGAGTTATGAAAGCATGATCAAAAGGAATAATTGGTGCCATTAAATTGCCCATTACAAGGTGTATTTCACAATTAAATACAATAAAAATGTAGGTTTAATTTGCAGTATTCTTTTGCTACCTCTTGGTCCTGGTGGTCCCTGTTTTCCTTCTCTGCCTTCACCTTGCAGACCTCTATCACCCTTCTCACCAGTCTCACCTACCATAAGAAAAATATATGACTAAATTTCTGTTTATACAGACATCAAGAGGGAAATTAGGTTTAAGGGTGATAGTTCTGTTTTTCACAGTACACTTTGCAATGGTAATTTCTTCACTTGTCCACCAGGAGATATTTAAAAATGCTAGAAACTCACCCTCATAACCAGCACACCTTTCCAGTTGTTGCTTGGGTGTACATGTTGGGCTAGTTAAAGGAGAATCTATGTCCGTATTCTGAAATTCTGTGTGCACTTACCCTTCACACCCATTTCTCCCGGAGGACCAGGGATGCCTGGGAGTCCCATGTAGCCTCTCTCGCCTCTAAGACCACGAGGACCTGGATCACCTTATAAATAAAATGTAGAAATATGTAAAAACTCCTATGAGGTACAAGTTATCTCACACTAAGCCTTAGTGAGATATGGTAAAGAATTACTGTTGGGACAACATAAATTTTAAAAAATGATCTGGAACATTATATTTAGATGTTAACAATTTAAACTGATATGGTCACAGAATAATGTGCACTTGTTTCCGAGATTTTAATACTACCTACTTACTGTATAGCGTAACATAATGTAGTCACAATTCTAGTCCTGGCAAAAAATTGATTGGGGTTGAATAAAAAAAACAGTTCATTGCACCCTTGATAATCTAGTTTTTTCTTTTTTGTTTGTTTTTAATAAAAAACAAAAATGTGTCTTTAACTGCTGTGGTACTTCAGATGTATAATTACCTGGGATTCCTTGAATGCCTGGAGGTCCACGGTCTCCTGTTTTTCCAATTCCTTGAGGACCTGGAGGTCCCTGGAACTCACGTTTCAACTCATCGAGACGTTCTGTGTGAAAATTTAAGGACACAAAAACAACATTTGACGATGGAATCCATTTGTTTCTAATTAGATACAATTTGTGATATCAAATTGCAAAAGTATAAGTTCCATATGAAAATTCACCTTGTTAAGAAAATTTAGATAATGGTGAATATTACATAATTTTAGATAATGGAAAAAGCATGTCATTCCTTTGGAAAGAAAAATGTCAGGTTTGTGGTTTGTATATATGTCTAAAAGAGCACAACAAACAGTTCCCTCAGCAAAGTGCCAGAGAAATAATGCAAAAACAGAAGTTGAACATATATAAGAACAGGAAGAAAACAAGAATTACCTTTCAAGACTTCAATGACAATTTGCCTGATTTCTGCTTGACTTACACTTCTTCCCTGCAGAGCAAAAGAAAGCCATGGGTCGGGAATGAGATATCATGCATAAGCTCAACTAACGGAGTTTTTAAAAACTTTTCTCCACTGAGTTAGTCTTCCACATGCTGTTACTTGAAGATTTTTGAAATGGCCACACCCTGATAGTTTCAAAAGAGGTTTAGGTAATATACAAATATATATGTGAATATGTATTAGAAACAGAATTTTTTTTCAGAACACCACTACAAGTAGTTTATGCAAACGGTCTCAAACTTAGTTTACCATTCACTTTCTTTGAAGACATGGATGTTCTGTTAGTTGGTAGTCTCAGTTCGATGTAGATTCATTAGTGTAAAAGTTTTGACATTTCAAAGAACTGAGAAAAGATCAAGAAAATATTTGGGGAAGCACATCAAATAAGTTTTCAGGCTATTTTTCCATTAGGCTACTACTTGCTTTTTACCTTCTGCTGTTCAGTATTTTTGCTTAATTTATAGAGCAGACACTATTTCAGTATTTGCATATGGTTGAGAGGATGTCACACATTATTTCTTTACAAAAAGAAGTTTTAAAGAATTGAGAGAGGTAAAAGAACTATGTTTTCTTTGGGGAGGCACATCCAGTAAGTGTTTACTTAAGCACAGACACAGGTACTTACTTTTACTTCTTCCAACTGTTCAAAAATCACATTTATCCGATCAATCAAACAGGGAATAAGATTATGTATTTTAGGTCATTTCAGTAAGTATCACTCAGCTGCACAAAAAAAGAACCAGAACCTACCAGAGGTGTGGCCAATGGAGACACAATGAGGCGCAATACTTCTAAATAATGGAAACAGTAAAATCCTCAACATTATGAATGTAAAACACATCTTTGCAGGAGACCATCAATAATGCAGGTTTTGAGTGAAATTTGAGGGAAAGAAACTTCAGACACCATTTCCCTAAGTCATCTTGACTTTGGCAATATCATATTCAACTTGTGACACCAACAAAAACCTGGGCATGCAAGGTGCGAGTTTCCAAGTATTTCTAAATAACATCTTGCATTATCTTAATAGATAAAACTTCACTCCTGAAATTACTAATGGTGCAATATGAAGTCTACATGTGCTTCACCCCCATTCTGGCATCGGTGCTTGGAATTCAAAAACTGTACCCTTTCAGTGCAACCTGTATAAAACATATAAATATCAATGCATCAGTGTCTTATCAATTCTAAAGTAAAACCCGCAGCGTGCGTTTGTGAATATGATATTGTCAGGGCATGGGTGAATTAAGAAATCTCAAAATTTACTCTCAAAACTCATTCAAATTTCAAGGATCCTGCAAAGGATGAGTGTAACAGAACTATACATAAGCTCTGTTCCCTTACGCATAAGATAAAACCAGTGATGAAATAACTTGATTCATAAAAGCCTCACTGTGTCTCAATATCCTAAAGCTAGTTGTAGAGAAAATAGACAAGATATAATCATTTAAACCAACCAACAGTTGCCATTGTCTGGTGCATATTCAGATTAAAATGACATATAGTGTGAGTTATAAGCAAAACGTTTTTACCAGTATAGATTTGTGGATATTAACAAGAAAACCCCATTAAAAGCATTTGTTGTAAAGACTTAGGAAATGCTAAAAAGATGAAAAAAAAGACAATTTTGAGTCTTTGACCTGGCTCACACTACTTTCTGTCCTTTTTAATTGAACAAGCCAACAGAATACCAGACGGTGGCCATTACTAGAGACCTGGTTGTTGCATGTGTGTGGAATGAAAAGTAAGGTGTGCCTGGTTTCACATGGGCAAGTATACATGTCATATGCAGCAATATTCCTCATGCACAAGACCTACAGAGAGGCTCACCTCTTCAAAACATTAAATATCACCGTATCACCAGTTACTATTATAAAGACTTAATTGAAGGCGTCAAATATCATTGCTGTCAATATATTAAGTCATGCCGGCAAAAAGTTACAGTACAGCTTAAATGTAAGTTTAAGGCCACCAATAAATGATTTATACCATATATGTTTATTTTTTATTTTAATATGATATATATTAACAAAGCTGTATACTTGAGCAAAAGCTGCTAACAAAACCAAACTTAAAGCAAAACTTTGAACGTTACAATGTTAGAAGATTGAAAAGCAACCTGGGAATCTTTGGCCTGAAAAATATAAAAAATGAATACCACACGTTACCAAAAAAAATCAGTGCGTTACCATGACAACCATAGTTGTTATTGTTGTTCTAATTGTACAAAATTATCTCACAAGCAAACTTTTCAGCCATTGTCAACCACAACATAATTATATTATGTTTGATTTAAAGCAATTTTTGAGACAGTGCAGTTATTATTTTAATTCCTATGACTTCAAACATAACAATCTGAACGTCTGATTTTCAAAATTCAAGCTGCTCTTAAAACATTAGTTTTCAAAAGTTTAAATTCATCTGTAATTTACTGATAATTGCAACATCTATAACTAAGGGATTAAGGTAGTTTGTAATTTGTTCTAATAATTAATCAAACTCAGTTATGTTATTTTCATATTGGAAACAAAGGGTAATGATAAAAAATAAAGTGCAGGAGGAACACTAATGTAAACACAATTCAAAGTCATAAAAAAGATTAGGATTGCTGTTAGAAGAACACCAAATAAAACCAAAAATAGCTTGCCTAGCCCGCCATTTTATGTGTAACTTTACACCATAAGATAAAATCACTGTGTAATATGCAAATAAATACAGGTTTTGCCCATGTGATGTATACCAGCTTGGAAATTTCATTTAAAAGCTCCAATATTTCACATCTGTATCCTTTTTAAAGATTATAACAGCTCTGATTGTAATCGAGTTACAGACAGCACTGCATTCTTCCAAACAGTTAACCTTTTGTTTGACAGAAATCAAACACTGAAAGTTTAAACAATGCTGTGTTGTCAGTTACTTGATTGCCATAAGAACTGCTCATAATATTTAGACCATGCCAATTGGCCTGAGTCTAAATGTTGCCATGGTAATTATCCAAATATCTGTTCACATACATAAGACCAACAAATAAGTGAAGGTGAAGTCATTTCTAGAAAATTTTTGCTTTCAAAGTTTCCCACATTAAATTACTTGATATTTTACTAAAATGCTTTCCCAAAAGATATAAACTGTTGGAATACCTTCACTGTTGAAATATCTGTTGGGCTTACAAAATCATGAACATGACTTTGAACAAGCGGTTAGATATAGATACCAAGTAAAATCAAGCTTTTTTGTTCCTTTTTCTCTCTTTTGACCCACAGTGATATCATAAACAACTTTCTGTACCTTCATTTGATGTTTGGCCACATTTGTCCATTTATCCTCAATATCCTCTGATAAATTTGACGTCTGCCTTCTAAGACTAAAAACTTATCAGGACTTGACTTACCAAAAATAGATAGATCACAGCTACCAGTACTTGAAAAGTAACAGTATTTGTGACATATCCAGGAAGAGAGCACACAAGGTAAGAAAGCCTCACAGGCTCATGAATAGAGTATATGTATACAGAGACAGACTCACTCCAGGGAGCTACTATACAGGCAAACTCACTTAAGTATATATAGCACATATGGTATATAACATATAAAAGTATATATTTATTCAGACTTCCTGCAAACCAGAACTTACTGGCAATCCTGGAATTCCTGGCATTCCAGGGGGGCCTGGCATACCCCTCTGGCCTGGGGGTCCTGGAGTTCCAGCCAACCCTGGGATACCTGGGGCTCCAGGGTTTCCTGCGGGTCCTCGCTCTCCCTGGGCACCACGTTCACCTGGCTAAAATTGGAGACATTTCCACATGGTAAACTGCAGCAATAGTGTAGGAGGTTATAAAATTCATCAAAAGCGGAACCAACATCTCATTTAACTGAAGTGTCTGTCCTCATTGTAATAAACTTTTTTTAAAATTTTTTTATTTGAAGAACCAACATTTAATTTGCAAAAAAAAGTAAAAATGCCACTGTGTTGACTTGACCCATCTTACCCTTCCTGTGTTACCAGTAGGACCAGCTACACCCTGAAAACAAAATGATGTTTGTCATTATCTCATGTTGTACAATACAGGGTTGCTAAAGTAATAGTAGTCAAAATGTGCAAATCTGTTGTCCACTGTGATATCTGATAAATAGAACAACACCTGCAATCAATGGTAATCCATGCTGAAGAATGCATATAAAAATGTTAATGAGGACCAACTTAAATGCATGCATTTAATGGGGGAATGTTGAACAAATGTTTAAATAATACTGAATAAATGAAATAACAAAATGAAATAAACAATATAAGAATGAACAGAACATTCACAAATGAAATGTTCCTTTCTTTGTATCTGTAGAATTCTTATTCTAAATCAATCCTTTCTACTTTTTAGTTGTCTGGATAGGTAGGATTCACACTAGGTTCAAAAATTATGATTTACTGTACCTATATATGTAAAAAGCACTTGAATAATTTTCAAAATCAGGAATCTTGAAACATAATTACTAACACTTTTAAAACTCAGGAACCTTAAAGAATATATATACATAAATCATAAGGATTCTAAAAATTTTAATTATATTCTTGGTGTGAAAGAGAAATTTGATCATATATATATTGAACTGGTTAAAATGCCATCAGTTCACTTACTGGAGGTCCTGGGGGTCCATAGCCTAAGGTATCAGTCTGATAAACCTGGGAGTCCTAGAAATGAAAAAACAATTATGACTGTTCCCAAGATGCAAACTAGACATTTTCACTACGAATGTATTACTTATGGTCACAATCAGAAATGAGATGGAGATTTTAAATTTGTTCAGAATATAAAGAAAAAATGGGGAAATTTACAAGGTAACTATATACACTTTATTTCATAAATTCATGTTTACAAGGTGATCAATGACTGCTTTCCCCCACAAGTGTATGTTCACCCTGAATGTGTCGTTTATCCATTTAGATTTGTATTATATAGCAATCAATAATCAAAATTACAATACATATCTGATCTAGTATGTATATTATGTTACTTACACTACTAAGGGTCTGTTCTCCAGCTGGGCCTGGTGGTCCAGGTGGACCCTGAATACAGAAAATATTAATTAGTTTAAAACAATTTTCATAATTAATTGTTTCAGTTACTTGAGCACTGGGTTAATTTTTTTAAATTTATAACTGTATTATAAATATATTATTATATATTATAAATGTTTTATATCCATTGTGATATTAAGTGATCAATTTTAGAAATATGTTAACTTTAGAAATATCTTAGAACTACATTGTCAGTGGCATTTACTATTGTAATTGACAATGTTTACAATTACTGAATTTTTCTGTTTTTAATGAGTTATATCATAAAGGACTTCATTTTAACCATTCAACTGAATTCTAATGGTCACACATAAAGTATATTTCTTTATCAAAATGCAGATTCATTTACTTATCTCTCCCCCCTCCCCATAACCCTCAAGAAGTTCATGTCCTAAAATCTGTTCTTTTTAGCCAGCACCATTCACTTACTGCAGGTCCTGGCTGTCCAGGTGCTCCAGGCTGTCCAGGCAATCCCATCAAGCCTTGTGGCCCTGGGCTGCCCTGCAATGGAGGTCATTTTTATGTTATTTACATCCTTGGGTAGATGTCATGATGGTTAAATATCAAATATCTTAATATGCACATGTTGTTTGTCAAATATTGTAACTGGAAAAAATTTGTGCTATTAACACTTTTCTCTTTCCTAAAATTCTAATCTGAAAAGATGATGTACAAAATTATTTTTATACAAAAGTATTCTAGGATCATGCTTACATATTTTTGTTTAACCTATTGACTGATTGTTTACCAAAACCACAATTAAGTGGCATAAAATTGATATTTTTCACTTCCTCTCACAAAATTTAAACATTATTAAGGATTCGAAAAAATTGTAATGCTAGCTCAAGCAATGTATTCCACATTCAACTGAATGTGAAGAAACTGACACATGAAAAGCAGTCCAGTATACTTACAGCCACTCCATTCTTTCCTGGTGCCCCTGGCTGACCAGGGCTACCCCTCTGTCCAGAATCTCCCTGTAAAGACATTAACTTTGCATTAGAAAAGAAAGTCTTTGCATTAACTAACAGTCATGCTTTCCTGAATACCTTCTCCAACAGATGAAAAGATATATAATGTAAGATGTATGAATTCTGATAATTCTGCGAATAGAATGAAATTCACACATGTATTTTATTCCTTCAAAATTTGATAAACTAATACTGATTTATAGTATGAAACATATAACCAGTAACTTTGCTTTTAATGCAACATTAAATTAAAATAACATAAAAATGAATAAGATCTGATATATATAAGGTTAAGTGGTTATTTTGATTTACCTTTCTGCCATCTAGTCCTGGGATTCCTGGATTACCTGGATTGCCAGGAGGTCCCTAGAGAACAAAAATATTTACAATTTCTAACAAAATCCTGGGGGGTTTTTCTTGATAGTCACTGTTTCAACTAAGTAAATAAGTTTAATTGATTTGGTAATAATAGATTAACATGAGGAGTAGAGAGGTCATGATTAATATACATAAAATTCTTAGGTTATAAAAACTTTTTCAATTGCATTTTTCTCTATTTGAAAAGTTTATGAACTGTATTCTAAAGCTGAAAACTTTTCAAAGGAAAGATAGTATAGTTTTAATTTGTGAGTCCAAAGTTGAGTTTATGTAAGAAATAAATAAGACTGGAACATGTCTTCAGGTGACCAGTTAACACAGGGACCAGCTTCATGTTCTCTGGTCACCTGGAAATGACAGCTAGGCTATTGCTAGGTAAGCTTGTCCTGCTAAGAAAAGGCATTTACACACCTGTGGACCTTTGATTCCATCTTGTCCTGCATCGCCCTTGGGGCCACGTTTACCCTAAAATGTCAACCAATCAATATTTGAACTTCAGGAAAGGTGCCAGAGATTTATACAAAAACAATTGTAAACTTAAACATGAAAATTTTATCATTGATTCTTTGTTCAACAAAAGTAATTTAGATGAAGATAATTAAAGCAGGCTGTTCACTGGTATAATTATCTTCAATGTAATTGAAAAAGTAGCACAAGGGTTTTGTCTTTAGTTTTATTCCCAGATGTTTATTTGAATCTTTAGTATATGCAAGCCACTACTTCATGTAATTTTAATGTTGATGACTTACATCTGTACCAGGCAATCCATCTTCACCAGGTTGACCTGGTCGGCCCTGTAATTATGAAAAATTATAATGATCACAAATTCAACAAGTCCCTTTATAGATCATTCTTTGCAATTTCCAGGATATTTCTAAATGTAATTCTGACATATGCTTCAAGTTGTTATATTTGTTGGTTTTATACAGGTATCAAAAATTCAAAGAGACTGGTTTTTTTTAAAACGAGTGGGTATTTTGACTTGTTCAAATAGATATATCACCCATGCACTTACTGGATTTCCATCTTTTCCTGGAGGACCCTGATATCCAGGAGGTCCTGGCAGACCCTGAAATGCAAATAAATTGTTGTAATAAATGTCAAATTCATAACTCAAGATAAATATATAGTACCTAAAATGCTTGACAATGTGTGAATTATTTTAAGATGAGAAATGTTAAACTAAGATTTAAATTTTCCATTTTGCAATCAATTCTAATCTAATATGATTTTTTTCTAGTGAGATGCTTTTTAAACAACAAAGTATATCTATGGTTATCTCTCTCTCTACACACACACACACACACACACACACACACACACACACACACACACACACACACACTGTTCTGTACTTACTCTGTCTCCTGATGTGCCTGGTTTACCAGGGGGACCTGGTGGCCCAGCTGGACCCTAAAGCAAATCATTCACATTTTAGTGAAAAATTCTAAAGCTTTTCAAACAGAAAAAAATCTGTAGTTTAGAAATTACAAATAAAGTTCTGCATAATCATATAATAATTAACCAGATTAAATATCCAAATTTTTCTTGGATTATCTTAGTTAAACGATTATAGTTTGAATAGCAGTATAATGAGGCAAAATTATAAGGCAGCATACACATAATATGAATAATAGAAAATTAGCAAAGTGGGTGCCATCATAAGCTAGACTGCCTTGCCATAAAAAAAATACAATTATAATACAACTGTTTCACCATGATATTTCCAAAAGACTTAACAATTCCAAAATAACTAGAATAAAGGGCAAGATATTGCTTTTTGGCATCATTACTGGTAAAAATGGATTTAATTCAAGACTGATAATAAAGGAACACTCTAGTTCCACAAGAGTTAAGTCACCAGCCCAGATTATTTCTGAAGGCAAAGCTTTCTTAATAAACAGCCTGCGAGGCTTGCGCATTGCACTGACATTGCATCGCAGCATGGCACCCACTTGAACATGATACACCTATACAAAAAGCACATGTATCTACAAAAAACCAAAATCCCTTCTTCCAAGCATTGCCAATATTTATCAAATAAATGTAAAAAGCAAACCGCAGCCGCTGTGCGCCATCGTCCTGCCTACATCCAAGACCGCCCAGCAGTACAAGTTCCTGTTCCTCGCGCCTCTTTTTCTGCACATATAGCTTGTATTGCAGTACACAGGGTAACGTGGAGCACAAGTTGGCGCCAACATATACTGCCAGCACTGGCATATACATACCGCTTTTTATTACTTATGTCTTGAAACATGGTGAAAGATGACTCAGGTTGAACTGTGCAAATGAATTGTGAAGATGACGAAGATGACAGCATTTGACTTGACCAGTGTTAAAAGTGAGATATGAGTTGTTTCTTCAAGTTTATGTAAAAATGAAGTGTAAATATTAATTATGAAAGTGATTGCAAGTGATCTGACCAACATGTGAAACAAACTCATGAGCAGTGTTTCCAAATTTGGTGGAGTTTAAATGTTGACAAAATGGATTGCGTTTAAAGATGCTGGCTGAAGCATCTGCCAAATTGTGAAATTAAAAAGAAGTAGAGGCAGAACTTGTTTTAAGGTGAGTAATTTTTAGGTGCAAAGGTGAAATATTTGGTGAGTTTACTCTGACACTTATATCAAAGATTAAAAAAAAACATTTTTGATAGTAGTTCAAGTGAATCTGGAAGATTTGAGGGTGAAAAAAAAAACAGTGCCTAAAAGTGGTGTTTTCCAAATAGTGCAAGTGAGGTATGTGGATAGTGTGTTTCCCTGAACAATGCCATCTTCCACCAGTTTCAACAGCAACCGCTGCAGCTCCATCATGCATGCAAGTATGCAAAACATACACAGAGAATAGACAACTACAAGGGGTAGTTTTTAGATTGTCGAGTACATCATGTCATCCAAAACAAACTAAATTCAAACAGTGACCATTGTCATTGTGTACATAAGTCAATAGAATAAAGTTCATTTTCATTATGTTCAGCTGTATATCATAATAACAAATTCAGATATATGGAAAATTTAGTTTACCCCTTGTAAGTACTCTTCTCAAAACAAAACAAAATATAAACGAACAAAAGTCTAGGTGCAATGACAAGCTTGCCGATACATTGCGCTGAAATGGAAGGGACCATCACCACATGCTAAATATGTAATTATTTTAATAGGAAAAAAAGCTACTGTAAAAAGCCTTATTAATTTAGTACTTGATCTGCTTGAGCCTTCGACATTCCAAATGCATAATCTTTCCATACCATAGCGCCTTGGAGATCTGCCATATCCTTAAGTTTTACTTCTCCTGGTGGGCCAGGCTTACCCTAGAGTAAAAAAGGAAAATAAAACGGTGACACTCATATTAATAAAAGAGGAATTATTTGGTGTCAAGTATAAATCTAAGAATTTTAAATGTGCAAATTGCAATTATAATGTTATTTTTGTCAAAAAATATGCTGTTAAATTCTAAGTCACATATGTAACTCTTATATGCAATTATTACTTAAAATAAATAGCCACTGAACACATTTATATGCAAAAATTAATATATATGTTGCCTTGATAAACAAAAAAAAAAACTTTTTGGAGAAAAAATTGTAAAACTATGTACACTAATAGACAGTAACACATAACAATATGATGGCTGTGTATAATGCCATTGAGTTTACCGGTCATCTTCAGCTGCCTCCAATTTAATAATGAAAATGTTAGTAAAAACAAAATACAGTGCAATAATCTGTAGTACATTATTTAGAAAAAAACTTATATTATATCTATATTAATTCATATTGTGTAAAAATGAATAGCTGATGCTGTAAAGTAAAATGTGAATTGAAATGCCCATGATTTTTTTCCAAAATATTCCAAATATGAAAATGTAAAATACAAAAATTCAATATAAAACCAGTAAATAAATCAAATAATGAATAACAATGGTTTTTGTGTTTCTGCTAAAATTAAAGATGTTAAATTACACCAAAATTAAAATGTAATATATTATATATGTGTATGTATATTTATTCACCGGCACACCAGGTTCTCCCTTCTGTCCTGGTTTACCAATTGGTCCTCTTTCTCCCTGGAAAAAGAAATCACATATCAAAGTATTGTATTTTTCACTGATATCTCATAGATTGGCAAGTAAGGCAACATAATCTGAATAGTTAAACAAACAAAAAATATACATCAGAACAAAACATGTAAAACCCTTTGGTATTATTTCAGTGATTTGTTTACCATTTTAAATGTCTGTTATGGGTATATTTTGATAAATTACAAATATTTGAGTACAGTTGAAGGGTGTCATTTTTAGTAATACAATCAGTCAGGATTAAATAATAGTAGTTCTCAGTTCTACCTCTGGACCTGCTGGACCTGCGACACCAATTACACCACGGGGACCTGGCTGACCCTAGAGTAAAAAAAAAAAAAGACAACTGATAACTGGCTGACATTCTAAAACATATTATCAAAGTTGTTGCATATTTTAAAAATTATATTATTTTTTTCATTCTTCTAAAGAGATGTTATTTTTCTCACCGGTTCTCCTTTGTTTCCATCCCTTCCCACTTCTCCTCTTTCACCAGGGACTCCCTGCCAGTTAAAAAAGTAAATTATTAGTAATTAAAGAAAACAGCATTCATCAAACTTAGTTTATATTTACAAATCAGCTAATTAGCAATATTTATAGGCATGCATGTCTATTTTTAATTTTCTATTATATTTCACTGTTCAGCTTCTTTTGCTATTCTTTTTGGCTTGAACAGCTTGAAGGAAAATCATATGCAGAAAGATGAATAAAAATATTTGCATATAGTCAGAGACTATTTGCATTTAAAAAACATACTCACAGGATTTCCAACAAGACCTTGCAACCCTCTGTCCCCCTTTTCACCTCTTTCACCCTAGTGGTCAAACATAATATTTTAATATTAAATATCTTTTGTATGGGTTCACTACACTGTTTAATGATAACCTCTTTTTACAATTTAAACGTTTTTGAATCCAATGGAGTTTACAGCATAAGATGGCAAGGTTATCAGTGTACAGGCTATTCCTGAAACATCCTCATGCAGAAGTATTACCAGTTTTTAACATACCACAACAAAAAGTATTTGTTATTTGTTACCCTTTTGCCAGCCTCTCCTCGCAGTCCTATCTCGCCAGAGTCACCCTTTTGGCCCTAAAAAGAATTAATGCAAAGAATTATATACAATCAATATCTCTATTATGAATCACAGTAAATTCCCCCTTTTCCTAATACAACAATTTAATGACAAATATTTCATCTGCATATTAATCCATCCTCTCACACAGACAAAATCAAAAAAGCAATTGTAAAGTGTGTAATGTCCCTCTTGAACCTCAATACTATGAATAGATTCATCATGTAATAATCACCTTTTCTTTAACTTCTTCAACTACAATATTTATCACTTGAAGTGACTCACAAAAATATACTCTCCTTCTTGAAACCAACCCACTTTTTTTAATGATTACTTGTGATTAAATTATTCTTACCTTCAAGCCATCCAGTCCACGGGGACCAGGGGGGCCAGGTGGGCCCTTAAAACAAAAAATAGAGAATCATGGAAATTCATTCTAAATGTACATTGTGATACTAGACACTGTCTTGAAATGTTTTGCCATAACTCCATGTTACAGTAGCTGATAAATGTATACATGTTTGCACTGACTCACAAAACTTAAATTAATTTTTTTAATGTTTGTCATATGCATTCTCATATTTATCATATCATATTATGATAAAACTGAATGTTTCTTGTCTGAAATGTTGCTCTTATCCCACAAAAAAAAGATGGTGATTGTGCCACAATTAAGAATTGCATTGTTTGCCAAAACATTCTAGATATTATTTATTCTGCTGTCTTACCGGGATGGGTGGAGGTATTTCACTGATTACATTGCTGGTTTCAGTGGGCTGATGATTATATGAAAATAAACAAAAGATCACATAAAAATTAGCAAACATTTCTAATTTTAAATAATTATTTTAAAAAATATTCATAATACTTAAAAATTTTGTAGTTATCATATTTCTGTATGAAACATATTTTAAAAACCATATTTGTATATACAGGTAACTGATACATGAAATAACCACACCATATAAAAGAAATATTTTTCTGTTCACTGTTCAAATGAAGATCACAAGCACCCATGATGCAGTTCCCCAGACTTACCGTGCCAGCTGGCCCTGGGGGCCCGGGAGCTCCATCTCTGCCATCTCGACCTGGGGTACCCTTTTCTCCCTAAAGTAAAAAAACTGTAAATTTCAAATTTGTTGAAACATGAGATATTAATTTTTTCCACCCTTTTTAATCAAAAAGTGTTGTGTATTTGTTCTTTTGTTTTTTAGTATACTTAATACATTTGTTTATTGTTTACTGACTTTCTAACACATTTAACAAATTTGCATTACTCTCAAATAAAAGAATGTTTGGAGGATGGGTAGAAATAGTGACCCTTTAATACAGTGCAGCCTGTTGTTATTGAATGGATTGTATTTTGTATCTGTGTTATGTAAATGCTGGCCCAGCACGTAGCCAGAGATAAGGCCAAATGGAAAGAAGTGACTGTGGCCTTATGTCCCACAGGGGACGAAGAGGAATGATGATGATGATGATGTTATGTAAATGCTGGTAGCATTACCTTAGTTCCCTGTCTTCCTCTGTCTCCATCCTTTCCATCAACCCCATCTCTTCCTGGTGATCCCTGTTAAAGGTAAAAACAAAACACAATATAAAAAAGTTCAGAAAGATCACATCATTCTGCTTTGGCAAGTATTTATGTAAGATTCATTTATGAAACATATTTGACTGGTCTCTCAACATGCATACTCTCAATACTTCAACCAACCAATAGCCTGCTGGTACTCATATCTATATAACATAGGTCACTGAGTCAACTGGATTATGTAGTATCTTACCGTTTCTCCGTTCATTCCTGTTTCTCCACGTGGTCCTGGGCTGCCTCTATCACCCTATAAGAAAGAAATAAGGGGACCATATTTACTAGATACAATGCACATCATTTGAATACAACATTTCATTAAAATTACCAATGTCAGAAATTGGTTATAATGCCTTTATAATTAACCAGGCTCACATAAGATGGTTTCCAGGTGTACTTACTGGAAGACCAGGCAACCCCTGTGGTCCAATCTCTCCCTGAGGTCCTCTTGCTCCTTCGACCTGGAGAAATCAGATATACCAAATAAATGGCCAATCCCTGCAGGTGAGAAATTGGTTTCTGAATTATGTAATGTGCAGGATCATTTTTGTTTCTTCATTTCTATAATTAACGCTTCACCACGTATTCTTAATTAAGGTTGGTATATTTGTAATGAGACAGCTGTTTTTCTCCACACCCCTTATCCCCACCAAGCACTCCCTTCTTTGTCACAAAGAACCCAAAGAATATTCCCCCTCTAGAGCCCTCCATCCAGAAAACATGGAACATCGTCCTTTTCGTTTTCCTCACCACTTGTCCCGGCGGTCCTACTAAACCCTGTGGACCGCGCTTTCCTTCCTCTCCTTGCTCTCCCTACGAAAAAGAAATTACTAATATTACATAACTTTACCGCTTCAGATATAGTTTAACAAGCAGGCAGAAGAAACATGTGATGGGAAAATACGATGTGAATTTTGGTATCTAAAGATTAGGATAAAATTTCACTAGAATTTGAACGGCAATTAGAAGAAATTTAACATTCATCTACATTGATTTCTAATTAAATGTTCAATCAATGTTTCAGAGAAGACCAAAGTGCTTTAGATAATTAAACCCTAAACGTGTTTTGGTTCGTACTTTTAACAATAAAAACCAACCGACTTTGCCAATTTAAAATAATTCAAGTTTGACAAGTCATTGGATCAACCGATTCCTTACAATATACATAATCGATTAAAGCCTCTAATGAAATCCTATATACCTACCTTCATCCCAGGGGCCCCAGGATCACCGTCAGCACCGCGCAATCCAGGCTCGCCCTAAAACGTGATATAAGTTAATGTTCAAAGCGACATGGTTCCCATTTAGACCATAAACATGTAACTACGAATGCACACATGTGAAATATTTGTTATTTCGTGGCCGTAAGGTCTTTTCACAATGTCAGTAACACTGTGTTATTAGTTTTTGTTTATATGCGACACCATATGACCGTAATAACTACGTTCATTTTTACTTTTAATATGTTGAACAAAGCGAGCGTGAGTGAAAGGCGACTTCCCCGTTGAGCCAAGCAAATTGACTAAACAAAAATTACCTAATCAAACAGTTTCAAAAAGGCAGACTAATCTGGACGCTAATGCAATATTCATTAACATGTGGTTTCCAGCTACAAAAATGACCTCGCTTGCTTTGCGGAGACGAAAAACGCGTACAGACTTCAAAAACATTCTGGTTTGCCAACTCCACACGATAGCTAAACCTTTTCTGCGCTCTTTCGACGACCGATTAATAACACGATAAACACAGTTTGACAAGCATATCTTTCGCTATCATGAACACAACGTCTTTAATTATTTGAAATTATCAATACATCAAATAACGTGTATTTGTCTGCCTTAGCTTGGTAAAGTTGTATGAAAGAAGTTTCTCTCACCCTCTCGCCGGGTCTTCCTGGAGGGCCCTCTGGTCCCGCGACACCCGGCGCTCCCTGGAATGATCAAATTAATCAAATCATACACCACAGATTCCTTGCACACATTTAGAAAACGCACATTTATAAGACGGATTCGGATGTGTGAGATCTTAATTTTTCCTCCCAGTGCTTGGTTGGGGGCTGGAGAAAGTATCGATGGTGGGATAATAAGGGAAAGGCATATCACTTTCAAAATACTACAAAAGATAAAATGCTGATAATGCAAGCTGAGGATCTACCAAACAATTGGAAAATCGCTAGTTCAATGCGAAATCCCACCCGTAAGTGGTGTCAAACAGCGGTAAGAATGTGAAAGAACAGGTTCAAACCCTCTGAAACCAAGGCCATCACATCAAGGCCAAGACAAGAGCAATGTGAGACACGCCTTGTCCATTCCGATGTCCAAACTGTGATGTGAGATGCATATTTGCATGACGTTAATTTATCGCACACCTGTTGCTCTGCTTTTTTCTCTTCAATCGCCCATGCTGAACTGTTTACCCTGTACTACAGATGTATTTTCCTCAACCACCCCTAAAAAATTGTCAATACTGTTCTAAAAAAAGTTATACTGAGTACGACAGCCCTGAACTCCTTATATAATAATTTGACAAGAAACGCTTTTTCGTAAATATTTCTTAAAGGAAAACAAACTCGAGCAAAAGGAATTATAATAGCCAGTCGCCTTTTCCCTCAAAACGTGATACAAATTACAATACAATTATCTGTAGTGTCAGCAACAGGTGTTCTTCTCATTTGGCTTGACACGTGTCTGTGCAGCTAACGACATGACCAAGAGTTGTGCTTTTCTGTCCTTGTATGTGCATGTAATGCTGCCGGTCACGCCATGTAACGTGTCTTTAATAAGTGCAGGTGGAGCGTACCTGTGCTCTTATACCACTGAACACGGCGAGTAATCAAGTCTTTACTGGAGCAAATGTTGGTTTAGTTATACTAAGCTGGGTTTAAATTTGTTTTAAATCAAACTCCAAAATATTGGTTTACAAACTGGTTCACTGTATGGTCGTATGTATGTGGTTTTGCAAATATGAGGAAATATTACGGATGATCAGATCTGACTTTTGATTCTCTTTTTCTCTGACTTCAGGAACTTTCGATATTTATCGCTTTTAGGGGTAAATTTTACAGTGCCTTGCGCTCAGACAAAGGTTACATTTCTGTCTGCTCCATATGACAGTTGCGTCTGTTCTACCTTGTTTTTATAAATTAACCAATTTGATACTGCGCCGTAGTAATTTCGCTGCCAAATTAAATTAATCACTTGATTAAGAATTGCACTACTCCATTTTTACATTCAAATCGACTTGAATTCTCCTGTTACGTTTTACCAAAACTAACTAAATGGGGAAGTGTATGGAGCGACTGCTGCTCCTACAATTTGTTCAGTTTACAAAATGAGTATAAACTTTGACCGATTTTATATAAAATTAAAACTATCCAGAAAAATATAGTAAAATTATGTCCCTGTAGTGTACTTACCCTTGTTCCGGGTATACCTGGCTCTCCTCTTGGACCTTGCTCTCCAGGTTTACCCTATAAGAAACGTTTTAAATATAATTTAACATAACAAAGACTACGGGTTAGGTAAATATAATATTATTTGCTGCACACGTTCGGTTTTTTATTTAAGAGTGGGTTGAAAAGTTGAGCCGTGCATTAACAATAAAAATCAAACGTGTTTGGGGAACATTATTAGATTGGCCATTCATTCTTTTTTGTATCGTTAGCCAAGACAAATAGCCAAAAATACGGGAGTTCCTGTAGTATCCAAGACAAACAAATACATTCCAAGTTAACTAATTTAAAAGACGGGACCAAATCCAATCACTTCCAAGAGGGAGATTCAAAGAAACCGATGTTGTTCCTAATTTAATTTGACCTTTTTTTGTCTGGGGAAATCGTCGGAACAGACTCCCTATCGCCAGACCAGTGGCAGGGCGGGAATGCCTCTCATTATCCTGTTCCGCTTTGCAGGTACATTTCTCCGGGCGATCACTTTTCATTACGTTTGCGGGATAGAATTGGAAGCTTGGGAAATGTGTCCGTCATGATTTCAACCCCTACACATGCTATACGTTTTCTTTCACTTGAATGAAAAATATTTCAAGGAAGACTGTAAAGTCTGCTTTAAAAATATCTGAAGTCAATATATATTTTTCTTTTTTCATTCTTATTGAATGTTATTTCTGAATATATTTGTTTAAGATAAACTTCGAAATCGGTCGCAATTACGTGTTTTGTAAATGACTTTCCAATTTTTATCATGAGGGTTTGGAATCGAAACTGAATGCGTACCCTAAATGTTGTGATTTTAATTTTCGCAATCTCCAATATCATCTAAAAGTAAATGACAGGCCGACAAATAGGCCGTTTTGTTAAGTCCCACTGCCAATTGCAGTCGTAGATGTTCTCATTAGCCAATTCCCGACTGGAAAACTTTTCACTGACTCAGTACATGCTACAGAGACATACAAAGGTCACTGTATACAATACAAAGAGAATTTGCCCTACGATCTCATTCTGTTCTCTTTAACGTTAGTTCTGGTATGGATGGGTCTGGACAAGAACTCGTGTGGGGTTGGTCTGAAGCATCAATATTTCTATATGTATCTTAAAACTAAATCTTGAATCATTTGTACACAAACGACGACAAAGAAAGAAAGCGTGTTAATAAATAAAAAAATACCTACATGTATAGATCGAATCTTACAGTGTTGCTACATGTCAATTAGCCCACAGCATGACTTGGAAATCGAGGCAAAAATAATTTTACAGTTACAGTTCGGGACAAATAGAAAACTCGTAAGGAGTAGCAAAATACCACAGTGATACACAGCAAAGATAACTACAGCGGAAATATAAACTCACGTCCTTGCCCGGTAGTCCGGGTTCTCCCACAAACCCTTGCTCTCCAGGTTGACCCTGCTCTCCCCTCTCTCCGGGTGGTCCCTGAAATCCCCGGGGTCCTGGTTCTCCCTGAATGACAACAAACATCAAACATATAAAAACGCTAGTCTGCATACTGGGAGGTTCGTCGACGCTCACTTGGGACTAGTGTGACAATCTCTTCTAAGCTCCCGTGGAACAGCCCCTGATTTCCACCCTCTTTAACAATCGCCACGCCCGTCTTGCCGCTTCGACCAGATCAGACCTAGGCACAGTGCGCTCCCTGGCTCTGCAGTGATTGATCTAATTCCACAAGCGACTCGTGCAAGTATGTGCTTCCAGGTTGTTACGAAGGTAACAAATGAGGTGTTCAAATTCGAGTTAAGTGCGGTTGTTGCACTGTCCCATCAGGGATCCAATAAAAGGTGGTCAGGACTTTGTATTGGCTAATGCAGTCGACGGGTTGGTTTTTTAAATCTGTTGTGATATAAGCGGATCATTTAGGCAAGGTTAAAAGGGTTTTAGTGCGATGCTTGTTAAATAACCTTTTCCACACAGCAGTGACCCATCTTTGATACGGTTCATTTCCGAGTGGCTCAATTTTCATCTGGACAGTGGTTTAAGTAGATCGTATTTATAATTTTTTTCTAATTGGACTAGGGGGTTAATAACCGTCAGACAGGTTATAAAGAAGGCGGAGCCTGTAAAGCCCCCCGCACCAATAACTGTAGTATATAAAACATGACTCTGCTGGCCTCAGAGAGTCTTTTCTAACACCTTTTTGGGCAGAAGGAGGTGGGTGTGCTGAATCTGAACATTTATTTTGGAAAAAACAACCCCCGTAGATACGTCTTACGTTAACTGCTATTATCTGGGTTTGTGCAGACGAAGACTGATTTGAACAGAAACTAAGGGGAACACCCGGGTTTTCACACAAATATACTTATTTACAGGGCATTGTCATATAAATATTATAAACAACGATTCGGCTAAAATTAAGAAACCCATTCCTTTCGGGGAATGGGTATTGAAAACATCACCACTTAACTTATACAAAGGGAATTTTGACCTAAAAGAAAAATGTGCTAACGATTAAAGACTAATATTTATGTGATTAACCTACATATTTTATCCACAGGGAAAATATACAACATATAATTTTTTTCACAATGAAATAAAGAAAAGGCATCAGCTTTCTGTTACTTAAGTACCTAAGTCTTAACAATGACTTTCCTCTTATACGCTAAAATGTCACGATTAAGCGGTGACGAGAAGCATGTGCCTTGTAGAGATGTGTCACCATCGGCACATTGACATTCGAAGTGATTTTGTGTTTTGTTTTGTGCGGTGACATGTACCTGTGATCCGTTATAGCCCGGTGGACCTGCTGGGCACACAACCTCGCACTGTCCGCTAGGCGTCGGCTTCTCCTGAGGCTCTCTCCCTTCACCCGTGGGTGGGGTGGATTCTCCCTGTGAATGGTAAGCACGAGCGTTAATTTAGGAATACTGTGGATTGATCTGTCTGTATGTTTCTAAATTTAAACTTGAATTCACAGTCAATTAGTTGTTTGGGTTTCAAAATTCTACACATTTCAATATTTCAAATTACAACAATTACAACGAGTAAATAGCATTCCATCACGTGAGATATTTAAAATACCAATTTAACTTAAAATAGGTAAATTCGACTTTCGGGTCGTTAAAGAAAAACTATCAACAAATTTGATGAAAAACGTTCAAGCTGTAGGCTAAAATGGAACAAGGAATAGATAGACATAGTGCTATGTATTGAGAGTATGGAACAAAACCCGCGCCTGTGCTGCAGAAACATGCGCATTACCTCAAACTCTTGAAAGAGAGACGCGTGCGTTGACGTAATTCTACTACTAATATAGTCATCTCCAGGCCCAGGGTCTCCATTTGGACCCCCAGGACCGCCTGGGCCTCCCTCAGAGTAACCACCAATAAGTGTGCCACGGTCCGGAACTCCTTCTCCATTTGGACCCCCGGGACCGCCATCGGTGCCCCGGCCTCCTTCAGTGTCACCGCCGGTAAGTGTTCCACGGTCCGGAATTCCTTCTCCGTTTGGACCCCCGGGACCGTCATCAGTGCCCGGGCCTCCCTCAGTGTCACCGCCGGTAAGTGTACCACGGGTTGGGCCACCTTCTCCATTTGGCCCCTCTAGCCTACCATTTTGTCCATCTTCGGGACCAGTATCCTCGCCATTTATGCCATCTCCATCATCTTTGTGGCCATCGCCATCGCCATCGCCATCACCGTCACCAACACCATCTCCATCTCCGTCCCCATTTGGGCCACCATCACCATTGGAATCACCGTCCTCGCCATCAGTATCATTCTTATCCGTCATTGACATCGTGATTTTAATCTCTGTCATCCAGTCTGTGACATTAAAAGGGTCAGTGACGTCATAGTCGATGTAATCTGGCGTGACGTATTGTCCCGTGGTGGCACTGGGATCGGGGAACTCTGACGACAAACCTTCCACATCAGTTTCATTGACGGTACTAACTGGCTCCGTGGCATTGACTTTTGGGACCGGTGTCGTTGTGTTTGGCGCGGGGGTGGTTGGCCGCTACATGCGGGAGACAAGGAGAATGCAGGAAGATATATAAGGACAGCAATTGCGATTGCTGGCCGACAGAGGCCGAGCTGGAACCTACCGAGCAATGCCTGCTGTTGCACGCGGCGCTTTTCCCGCGCAAGGGTGCTACTAACTGGCTCAGGCGAGTGCAGAGAGAAATGTGGCAATCCATCTGCAGCATGCTGACTAACTCCTCACATTATTATATACCCTACTGATTCAGTTTTAATGTTTATTGATAATATAAAATAAGATAATATTAAAGAGGTCCGTTTTGATTCAAGGAAACAAATTACTGCGTTATCAAAAATTCACCAAACAGAACATTTTAGCATTCTAACCAACTGTAAAGCGGTAGGGCATAGTGATGTGAGGGATTGCATCAATGGTAACGAATAGCCATTTTCTCCTTTAAAAGTCATGCATCATCCGCCAGGTAATGATACATTATCAACTGAGTAATTGCACCAAACACATCAGCTAGCGCGGACCACATAGACCATTTTGGGTCTCTAACTTGCCGAAAAGTCCGTCGTGCTGTTTAATGCTGGTGTAATGACACAGTTGACCATTTATATATGTGCATATTGCTTTGCTCGTGGGTTCAGTGCAGTACATAAAAAGACACAAGAAAGAAAGAAAGATGAAAAAAGAAACGTTATTGATACACACACCATAAGAACAAGTACCGATGTTACTAAGAGATTTTTGCTACACCACTAAACATACATGTAAGTGCAAACTTTCCCAACAACCATTTACTATCTACATATGATCCATATTATGTCTAAATGTATATACAATAAAAGGACACGTGCACCCATACTATATTTACAGAAAGAAAGAGTGTATAATGTAAGTATATATATTATGTTACTGCTGGCTTAGACGCGCGAGAGTAAAACAAACTGGAATCGCTACTACCGCACTTTACCTGGAGTTCAGTGCACTGATCTCGCATCGGCGCAGTGTGATCACAGTGTACGACCATCCATTGGAGATCAAACTGAAACGGCATGTAGGAAAAGATTATTAAAAAGCGTTCAGTTACCTTACACAGTATATCTTAATATGACATCTGTGATGCATTTAGAGCATCACTGAACTGACTATGATAAATTTCACCGATGCGCTTCAGACATGTCTGTGCATCTTGTTGCCTAATGAATTTAAAGTAATATATGCTTGTTTTCATAACAGAGTAGATACGATAATACCACTGGGATTTAGCATCAGTGACACAAAACAACCTTTACTTAACTGATTGATCTTTCCGATGCCCGTGAAATGAGTTGGTAATATATAAATCAGCGAAAGGTTTCTTTACTTTTCCTGGACTAACTCAGCATCCGATTCTTATTGACATGTACTTACGTATGCTTTTAAACCTGTATTATTAACCATAACATTACCGATAAGCGTGCTTCCAAACCACTCACGTTTAACTGAGCACCGTCTTCCTCTCTCTTCCCCATAACTATATGGCCGTTCACGTCAATCTGTCCCCGAGGTTCTAGAGGCAGCTCTTCCATTGGTTGGCAGTCAACATACAGTCTAACTGTCCCCCTGGTAACGCTCATATGGATTTTATGCCAACGCTTGTCAAAAATCTAAAATACACACCACGAAAGTTTGTTTGTTTTCGAGCACAAGGTTTTGAAACACAGTATCCTACAATGCGTTGGGTATGAGTCAAGTGAAAAGGACAACGCGATGAGATCGATTCATTGAGTTTTTACTCCGCTGATGCCAGTATGCATCATTATAGTGAAACAATATATTGCGATATGATATACATGTAAACGCATCACACTTACCTTAGCTGCGGTTTTAAATACTAAAGTTTGTACAGATCCAGCATAATCGAGAGTGTAAAATTCTATAGTTTTGTCTCGTCCATTAATTCTAACACCAAATTGTGGGTTGGAATAAAGGTCTTCAACACGTATAAGATTCCAGTTTTCTTTCCTTGTCCTAGAACTCATCCGAATTGTACTTATGAAGGAAAACTGCTCGGGCAGTCCATGTGGAAACAATGCCCTACAATGTCAAATAGGTTTGGTTACACGCACACAAAGCATATTAAACAGTAGGCACGTGGTTAAAAGGGAAAGACCTCGCTGGGCGACATTTGTGACTCTGTTCGTCCGACCGTTTAAGTCAAATTAGTTCCTTCTATCTTTCTTTCTTTCAGGCAATATTAATCGATAAGCAAATCTATAACTACACTCTACTGAAGCGACTGGTCACTTCAACTAATAAACTGAAAGAATCCAAGATTTGAGGCAGGTTATTTGTGCTTTCTATATAAATATTGTATTCTATCTAAAATAAATTGTCTTTCACCTTTTGCCAACAAATCGGGGATAACTTTTCATAGTCTTACATGCAGATATAATTAATAATGACATTAACGAGGAAATATTAAATCTGCTTGGTAGGAATATTAATTACAATAGGTACAAATAGTGACTGATTCAACAAAAAAGCACACGTTTCAGAATGAATAGCTTAAATGGCAATTAAAGCAGCATGTCCCACGGGAAGGACGCTCGCAGCATATTGCGACAGTGGTACGACATTAAGGTACCACGTGCGGCACGCTCTGTCGCAGTGAAGATGAAGAGGCGCTCGATACACATTCAAAAGAGCGCAGCCACTTTTCAAAATGCTGAGCGCCAAAGTAATGCACATACGCAATAAAGCATCAGGTGACAGAATAAAGACAGAAGAGGTGCCGATAGCCAACCACACGTGCAAATAAGAGAAAGCGGGTCTTTTTCCACATAGTGACCTCATTTCCGATATTTTTTTAAATAATAATTGCATGAAAAAGTGATATACAACATATCGCCAAATGAAGCCACTGCGCAGAGGTTAAAGTCGCCGCTGACTTTTCCTCCGATTTGCGATGTTCTTTCACGCGCAGGGAAGTAGCAGTGCGCAAACAGCAAGGTAAAGTTTGTAAGGAGAAATATACGTGGTCAGAGTGACAGAGAAGGTGGTCGAGATAAACCCTGTGGTGTGTCAGTAATCAATCTCACGAAATGCCCAATATTTTTTCTGTTTCTCCAACTTGTTAGTTGCCGACGAAAGGCGAAAGTGCTTGTAAGGTCAGGGTGCAAGCGCTATTGTAAATACACCCTGGAAAAATCCACTCCAATGACCTCGCTAAAATGCAACGCAAGACCAATAGGGTGGATTAATCGAAGATGTGATTGGCGTGAACGCCCATCATATTGTTAAGTAGAACGCATGTTTTTTTCCACGTTTCGGACATGAGATCTAGGGCAAGGCCAAAAAAGAATCCTACATATTGTAGAAAGGGTAGCAGAAGTCGGCCCATTCACTGTTCATTAAGCATTCAGTGTATGTCAAAAAATACAAACCAACCCCTGGTACTCTTCCTAAAAATAGCGAATTGTAATAGTTCTTGGTCTGGCCTGGCTATGTGGCAATTAGGGCGACCTTAAGAAATAGGATGCCTTGTTCCCTAGACTTAGGGCAGGAACTTAACTAAATGCTCCGGCTTAAACTGCAGGAAGTGCCCTTCTTCCAGCCGATACACAGACAAAAAGGATAAACCCCCGCAAAGGATTCGAGATATAAACATTTTGATACACTTGCAAAATGGTATTTATGGTGTAACTTTCCATGACTCCAGTCAGTCGTCTTTCGCCCGATACTCGCCGTCACATTCAATATATTTTTCCATTGCTCTGTAACTGCCACTTGCGAAAAAATGTGTTGATGACCATGTGGTAACTTAAGATATTGTTATAACTGTCGCCCAGGTGATGACTGAATTAAATTACAATGTTCCCAAGCTACTTTCTAAATTTAATGGAACGTTTTGGCCCTGACAAGGAAATCAGGAAATACTGATGAAAATTAAAAGTAAATAGGACGTTTTGCTGCTTTGCTATATATGTTCTAGTCTGCAATGAATTTCTAAAGGTTGGACTCTTATTGACAGTGACACGGGGTGATTCAAAGAACTGGGAACAAACAATACCGCGAGACTGGAGAGGTCTTTTGATTCATATACTCACTAGGGAAGCCATTCCAACATTCACCCTCACTGTAAACTGCAATCCTTCACCTTCGCTTGGCTTTGCATGGTATAATGCGAGCTAACCGTGGCGGCAGCGAACACAGTACGCACTGCGCAGCGGCGGGCATCAAAGGAACGCAAAGTGAACGACAGCAAAATAATAAAAAAAAGAAGTGCACTTTTCGCAAATTCATAATAACCATTTCAAAGAGAGCTCAGTAAATGGGCGCTGAAAGATGACTGGAACAGATATACTTACGATGTAGGAATGCTAAAATCGGCCTTTCTACCTATCCTGTAAGCCTTCTGGAATTCATTGGAACCGCGTATTGTTTTTACTCCTGGTAATCTGGCCGCACTGTCTAAACCGTATGTTGAAATAAAATCGAAGGCTGGAAATATGAATATGATATGTTTTATATGTACGTACAATAACACATAATTCAATAGTTAAAATTGTTAAGTCTGGTGATTAGGATGTTAACTGAGAAGATTTTGTTAAATTGTGAGCAACAGGCAATCGATTCTAGTGCTTATATTGCAAGGTGGTTATTTCTTTTGGGTGTTTTAAAAACGATAATGTGTTTTAAAACGTGAAATTGTTCATAAATGACTTTTCAAACTGAACTGCGCTGTAGATTTATCTCTTGGCAAAAAAAATCGTTAAACATTCTCCTTTATATGGTACCCTTCCACCACATTGTATGTTCAGACTTGCTGCAAATTGCAGAAATATTTGCAAAGACTGGGCCTCGATTATGTTGCATGACTACCGTAAAAACCTTTATTTGTTGGCTGTTATTTGAACGTCTGAGACCCGACCCCCGGGACCTTAAATCATGCCCCCTTCGTTAATTAGTTTAACACTAATGTAAAAGAATGATCCACGTTGTAACAGCAAACCAAGATCAAGTCACGAAGATCTCACAAAATGTCACCAATTAATGGCGAATTACCACAGGCTGACTTCGCGTGAAATCGGAGAGATTGCTTAAGATTACTTCTGTGAATCTCGGCGTGATGTAATCGCTACGTACCTTTAAAGGTCGCAAGCTTTGATTGTTGTTCAGTGAACAAGTTAAAATTTCTTCTCGTATGACACAAGTTCTATGAATGGATGAGCAAATGGATATCTCTACTCACTGCAGGTAACAGAGGAGATGCTACGTGCCGTAATTACAGAGAAATTGCGAAGCAAAGATTACAACAAGATATCCAACATTTCAAACGGGCAAGATTGTCATCTCTGAAAACCACGGTCGGAATTTTCTGCAAGAAACTGTAATTACCGTAAGGGGAGTATCGAGTGGATAATTAACTCGGGAATTTCCACCGAAGCAAAAGAAAAAGCGTTCCACAGTCTAACCCGAGAACGTGCTTGTTTGTTTTCAGAGCCGGTCAGGTGAAGCAATTTAATGTGATGTCACAAAGAAACGATTTTGAGCGTAATCAACAGTGTGTAAGAAAAGCGAAAACTATATCACTGGGTAATGCACAATAATGTTCTACATCGTTTTTCATACCGATAGCATTTGCAATCTAGGAGCTGCCTTCGGGTTTTCTTTTCTCTGATCTTAATCCATTTTGTAAAATAAATTGGGTAATTTCGAGGCGCAGTTATCTTTATAACGATCGGCTTGATGTCTTGACAGCCCCAACAGGCGCGTTTCGCCACCTGATCAAAGTTGTTTCTTTACACTTATCAACGATTCGGTAACTGCAAATTCACTCTGTCGGAAAAGTTATTGGCGACAGGTTCTCATTATTAATATTTTATCCTAAAAAGGGTTTTGTTCTAGGACGAGTCGTTTCCGGTATAAAAACATTATGCGTGGTTAAATATACGATGTTGCAATGTGGGGGTGTCAATGGAAATGGCACTGTTTAAGGTAAATGCAAGCTTGAGAAATAAATATTTACCTGGAAGATCGTCTTCTCCCGGCCTCACTTCTGGACATATAGCAGGGGTGCCAAGGCCAATCTCATTGAGGCTCTCTGAAATGGTGATAATACAGTGATAAAATTAATTCACAAAGGTGAAAGTGTCATAACCATGCACAAATTGTGTGCCAATATGTTAAATGTTATGTCAGCTCGTATGACCAAAATAGTGGTGCCACTTCATATACATTGAAGATTTATACTGTTAAGCGGATCATACATGTGTATTGGTAAAAACTTAAGATTCATAACCTTAAGTAGAACAACATGAGATATAACAAAACATGTTAAATGCACACGTTTCATTTCAAAATAACTGGCAATTACTTAAATCACCAGAGATGACAAAATGGAAGTCTCCAACTAATAGGAAGATATCCACAATACCAAAATGAGAGGAAAACAATGTATGACCATCACGTACTGAGGACTTCAAAGGCTCTTTGAGAAAACGAAGCGGTAACTTGATGAGGTTCGAAACATGGATGTGGTTGACTTGGTAGCAAAGAAATTTGTATTTTACCCCAATCGACGTAAACCAAATCCCACTTTAGAGAGCAGAGCACTGCAGAAACAGATGGCAATGTCATGAGAGAGTATCGGTTGCTTTGTTGGCATCGGCTTGATGAAAGTAACAACCATTCTGTCAGATTTCATTTCTTTGGATGCTTTAATGATTTTATTATATAATTACGTTTTTATACCCTGTTTATAGAAACAAGAATTTAGGGAATGTTCTCATACAACTGCAATGCGAATACTCATTTCGAATTGCAAAAAATGGAGTGGTGTTACACGGCCCCCAACTTGGTTGTAAGGGTCGGATTCCACCGGTATCAATCTTCAAAGGCTGGAAATCATAAGCAAACAGATGTAGAAAGGTGTCTGTGAAACGTTCCCATGTATATGCAAAGTACATGCATCTTATCAAAAAGAGTAACTTGTGTGATTAGAATCTGCGCTCTAAGAGGAAATTAAAAGGTTTGAACGTAGGTTGTAAGTTCGATATTCACATAATATTTTACATATAATCTGACATTTTAAATGTTATATATCTATTGAAACATTCAAAGCTCTTTTATTTTGACATCGGGGCTGTCCTACGAGTCAAATACACACTTATATCTGTGGTAAGCATCACGTAGGAACATGTTAGGGGCGGGAGTGCTTGTAAAGTGAGGAAGAAATACCCAAGAATTACGACTTGATTTCGTGACCCGAGGAGCCTTCTGATTTACTGAAGACCCACATGAACCGCTGCCTGGGCAACAGCAAAGAAATACACGGAACACGTTGCAGTTCACAACCAAAGCAACTACAGTTACATGGACATTTTCGTCATCATTCTCATCCTATTTGTGGTTCAAATAATTGAACATTCTGAAATTGTTAATTTGCCTGTGTTTTTCCTAGAAACACACTGTACGGGACACTCGTGATTATCATGTTTTAAAAGAACATTTTACCTAATATCATTTTGAAAGTTAACCTTTTTTCTTAAGAAAATAGTGCTATGTTATAAATTTATACACCCTAAAGGCAGATCAAGTATTTACAATTTAATATTGTGGCTTCGCGGAGAATGAAGCATTATTTGAATGCCATCTTTTTCGATACCGCTCTCTTGTTATCCTGTAATCAAGTTAAAAAGTGAATTATTATCAGCATCATTTCTTTTTATTTGGTCAATATTTCGTGTGCATTGCCAGGTTGAGAGTTTGGGAAAAATTAACTGTTATAACCCCAGTGGAAAATTGCGTCGCAATCTGTGGTCTTATGAAATGTGGGTGGACGTTGCTTAACAAACCGGAACCTCATCAGGCAGCGTGGGTAGCCATGTACCCCGGACTGACAGAAAACATCAAAGCCAGTTACTTAAAATACGCTCATGATCGAAAAAACAAATCTGTATCTTAGGAAATACACAACTGGCGCTGACCTTAATTTTCCAACAACAGACGCGACTCTTAACCCTTAGAAAAGATCAAAGTGATGATAGCATATTGGATAACATCGCTCCTGAGAGTCTTAACCCTTTCCTAGGATCCAGCAAGAGGTCACATTTACAGCCACGCTGGATATTACACAGCTGAATACTTCTGCTAAGTGCCAGACTTTGCCTGCAAGATATTGGCACAAAGGACCCAAGGTTGTTATAAGCATCAAAATTTGAAAGTTAAAAATGTGAACTTGTCCCCTCAACATTTTACAACTTCCTTACTATGTCACCTCCTGACATTGGTTGCGGTTCTATATTACCAACAGGTGTTTGAGGCGAGAACTGCATATCAGCCTCCACGATGGAACCTTTTCATGGAATACTTACACAGTTTGAATCAATAAACCAATCATCTGGTGTAAAACATCGCTCTAAGTGAAAGGACCACAGCCGGGCGAGCAAAATAACCAGAAAACGTGGTTTGATTAACAGAAACGTTGGTAGCAAATCATTTCCTCTCCCATCGGCGGTCTATCACGCACTTTGCCGAGGCGGCGATTAAGTGTCAACAGTGTTTGAGGGGGTCCTTTAATTTGCCCCTGTCTCTTGCAGTAACCTCATCATTTTTTTGTAGGTCATACGGTGCGTGAGTGTTTATCTTCCAGGGGGACAGTTATTCTAATAAACGAGCTTTTACGAACAATATGTCAGTAATATATTTCAACTGTATTACAATCTTTATGTTAGATTGATAAGCGAATTTAGCGTACTATTTACATGCGAGAGACTGCCATTAATGCCTTTGTCATACAGTATGATCTTGTTTTCACAAGAGAGTCACTGAAATACATCATAGTCGCACCTCCCTAGCCCAGGCCTTGACTGACAAATAATGTAAAGAAGAATTCCAGGGCCATCCTCTTGGCATGTGATTGCAGTTACGATCACTTGTAGTTGGTATATCAGTTTACATCTTAAGGTATAATCCGTTGCGGAACACTGCGTTTAATATTCAATAACGAAACGTATATGCACATATGAATATAACGGGTAGACCACCCAACGAGTGTCAATATTTTCCTTGAATAGATTTATGGTTGATAATGTTGACTGTCACATCAAACGTCGATTATTGTCTTGATTTGGGCTACACCGTTATGCGGGAGTCATAATTAAATTTGGTATCAAATTATTTCTCTCTACTTAAAGTGTCGTTGCTACAACTGCATCAAACAATAATTCAAAAATCTCTATTACATTTTTCAATCATTATAACAATTTTAAAGTACATTTCAACGGATTGAGTCAAAACTCGGACTGGTGGTTAGGTTATATGTCACTTTTCCTCACCCTCTCTCCCTCCAGCCGTCTCTCTCTCTCTCTCTCTCTCTCTCTCTCTCACACACACACACACACACACAGACACTTTTCTTTGCATGTCTATACCATTTCATCATTTTTCAATGAATCTCATTGTTTGTATTGGATATATTTCTATTTTATTCAAACGCCAAATGTACACTGTCGCAGTAATGTTAATGTCAGGGACATGGTGGGTGTCATTCAATACCACTGGGCTCCTCTCCGTTTCGTAATTAACTTTACGGATTAATCAACTCGCCAAATGAAAAACTAAACGGCAAGCATTTTGGATGATATACATATCAATTGCATGGCAATCGCTTTAGTCTAGACTTACGCCAAATTTGAAATAAAAAAATAATGCTTAGTCCAAATCAGACTAATTTTATAACAGTACATTTCTTTCTTTTCAAATGCCTTGCTCAAGTAATCATATCCTAGCTGCTTCGTTTAAAAACTCCTCTCAAAGTTTGCCAATTCTTTCTATTCTTAGATACTAATTCTACAGTTATTTGTCTTATATTATCGGCACAGCTCATCTGGAGAAACTTCAAGGCTACCTTAATCCGGTCATCTTAATTGTATTGATTGGAAGCCCTTTGAAGTTCGGACCTGTCGTTAGTAATACCTGTAAGATCTTTCAATGCTATCTTGTCAACATTATTAGTAAAGTGAACGTGGCAGTTGTAAGGGTAGCAGTGTAAGCTTCAGTAAACCTGCACTGCAGCTTGTCGCAATGAAAATGGCAATAAAAAGGTGTACAACACGTAAAGGCAGTCGTATATTTAAGAAGATGGAACAAGAAGGAAAAAATGAAAAGTGGAAGAATATGTATTTGTTTCACAACTGCAGGCAAATAAGGTGTAAGGTGCAGAACCGCCCCAGCCTTCCCCCGTGTCACGCCCAATGGTGACTTCACAAATATGGAATATTGATACAACTGTCTCATTGCAATGACGCAAGGGTACAAACGATTCCAGTGTAGAATTTCAAGAACCCACGCCTTGAAGTCTGCTATTAAGTATGGAAGCCTCTTCGAAACAGCGTTCTCCTGCGTCACTGATGTAGCTACAGCAGGAACAAAGTTTCTTTTCCGCTTCCATCCAACGCCTAATTTTAATGTTTATTTCTGACACCTATGAGCCAACACCCGCAGTGTTACATTTGTACTACTAGAGAGCCACGGCGGGTGTAAACCATGAAGGGGATCATTACATCAACACTTAGGATGTGCAAGTTACCTTGTCAAAACATAACACCTCCATCAAACAAATTGCCGAAAGTTGATAACCATTTCTTGCTTTCTTTTTTTCATTGAAGTGTGTTAATGCTGGATATACTGAATTTGGTTGCATTCATATTTCAAAACAAGAGCAAAGATCGAACAAAAGCAATGTTAACTCTATAAAAACATAGTAAAGATTTGATAAGTTGTAAAAACAACAGCATAATTTACTTACATACTTACAGCTTATGTAAACGCCCGTTAAACGGTCGCATAAAACGATAAGTATGAGTATGCTCGCATTTAATCTTATGGGGAAGTAATAAAATAGTACACTCTGATTCACGGCGGCTGTATATTTTTGTTTGAGCATTATTGCCTATTGTAACTGGCGGTAATATTGTCACCTAGAGAGTAAGTACTCAAGACAGAGTGTAATCGCTTTGCAACTGGCAATTTATCTTCTTGAAAAACCCTTTAGTACCAATATCAAATGACATGCCTAACAATTCTTAAAAACTATTAATTGGCATCAAACACACTGTGAAGGTTATAAAACTCGAAATTTTATTTCTTTTTCCTTTTTTGCACGCCAGTCGTTGGTAACATGCGTATAAATATGGAGGGTTTTCCAGTGCAAAGCAAGTGCACAAAAAAACTTCAAAGCACGATTCCATTTTTCACCTGAAGTGGGCAATGAACTTGGGATACGTTTCGATATATTTCTCTGGGCAGTTGAACCCAGATCAAAGAAGTCAATACGAAGGCAAAACGATCAATAATGAGAGACAAGGGGGTAAAAGTGGAATGCAAACTACCCTTGAGGAACAGTGGCGATACTAGCACCAGTGTTGTGAGGCCATTGCCGATTAAAACACTAATTGAAGCAAAAGCAATTACAGCAATTTTCTGAGGCAGCTTTAGGTTCATTTCTTCACGTACAAATATCGCGATGAATAGCACGGAGGCAACACGGCAACCATGCCTTCTCTGACATGTGAAAAGCAAATGTTTTTCTAACAAAGAATTGACCCATACTGTACGTAACTGTTTTTCACAAGGTTTGGCATTCAATGTTGGCACTGATTGCTTCAAGAAGTAAAGTAACATATGCTCAGGTCTTCTATCTCTCGTTAACACAGTGCGCTTCAGGTTTACTAAGCACTTTTAACAAACCAAAAAGTCTTTCCAACTATCCCATATAAAGACATTACAAAATCCTCGTCCATTTAAACTCAAAAACAACGACGTTAACGTAACTTTTTATGACTCACTAGGCACCATGTGAACCATTGCTGAATTGGCGATATATTGTAACCCTTGCTCCACTGTTTTAGACCTCAGTGCACGACGCTTACCATGAGCCTCCAGAACATGTACACTACAAGGGGTATTGGATTTTACAAACGGTCTACATTTACTGGCAGATGCACGCAGTTGATTTATCGTAATATACCGTGCTATAGTGTTTCCGCTTCTGTGATGCAGATAGGGAATTTCTGACAGAAACTCGACTAATGGTAAAGCCAGAAATCTGGGCCTACGCGAAATGCTTCTGTTTCTTATTAACTCAGAAGTTGGGTTTTTTACGCTGAAGAAATGTTAGATATTCGGAGTTCCCGATCAAAGGAAGATGAGAGAGGTGCCATATAGTAAAGGTGCATCACCCGTGAATTCTAAGGGGGTTTCTTTTAAGATAAGGTTTCGAAATGTGCACTTAAGGCAGCAGAGGGTAACTAATGTGAATGGTTTATGGAGTGTTTCTTTCACGGAAAAGGGCATATCTGGAAGACTTAAAGACAAGTTTAGGTGGTTGTATGCTTTACAATCAAATAACTTTACTAATGATCCATCGTTATTTCAAGTCATTCAAAACCCATATCGTACCTTGTAATTCTTGGGTATGCCTCAGGAAAACCTGAATTCTATTTAGTGAGAACCTAACTGAAAGTACTTTAAAGTCAATGTACAGTTCTTAAGCTTCAGGAATGAGAAACATTTGAATCCCATTTTATGAGTTAATGAGCGTATAAGAAAGGTGCCATGCCAGATGCTGTAATTTACTCCCAACGTTTTCTTTCTTGCGTACACATTGCTCCACCTATTTCGATATCTGCAGTACCATATCAGTTCCACCCTGAGTTTCAAAGTCTGCCTCTAGTATCAACATACTACGTCCTTGTGCTGGGTAGATGGAGCTACAGTCAGTGGGCTTACTTTGAACCTCAGGGTATATCATTACCAAATCCAACATATTCAGCATACGCTTATACAATGTAGTCTACTCTTTATCATCCTTGAATTAGCAAAAGCTTTAGAAACAACTAAAGTAGAATTCCAATACATGGGATGTTTAAAGGGATAACAACTCTTTGTATGAGTTCTACTGTATATTTCACAATAAAAATATTGTAAACAACTCATAGAAATAAAATATATTCTATTTTACCACAAAAAAAGGCACTTATAGCAATTATTCTGAAACCTGTGCTTGTCATCAGAACACGTGACCCCCATAGATGGCTATTCTCTGCAGATTCTCTAAAAAAATTAGAAAAAAACAAGGGACTAACTTTGAATGTAAAAATGGATTCATTAACCATTGGTAAGTATGGGAAAACTGTTGTTTACCCATGGAACCAGGAAAGTTCTTTTTTGACCAAAATAAACAGTTGTTATCCCTTTAAGGTCAAGGTCACAGACCCGTCTTTGAAGGGTTAATGGTTGAACAACTAAATAGGACGTTTATTTTGAAAGTAAAGTCCTTTGGATACAGATAGCAGGTACGAAATGTAGCCATAGCTATTTGAACAGTGTTCCCTATTATGTTGATTGATATATTGCTGTGGGTTTTGATGACATTTTCAACTAAACCTTTAAAACTGTTATCTGCCCTTAACTCCATACTCAGACAGCCGGCAAACTCCTTCGGGTAACACATGTATAGTGCAACATGGCTACACTTAAATCTCTCCTTCAATCTGTCGACGAAGCAGTCGACGAGGTATTTATAAGGCCATTTTTAGAGCCAGTGCACCAAAGTTATCATGTTTTGTCTGTCGATGCACCCTGGCTCTGACAACCTTGTGTGCTGTTTGTAAGTCTATAGGTAAGGGGCATGGTGTTTGACACAAATATGTTCAGCTCCCACGAAGTATCACTAAAGGCAGTTTGAAAGACATTGCTATTAATACGCCATAGGTTGAATCAACGAAAAACGCCACACGCTGTGACAGTTGTTATGCTTTATTTTGTAATTGTTGAAACTGTATTTTTATCCGTTTCTATGGCAATAACATTCTGTGTAAAACAATACTACTAGCGCAAGGGCTGATGAAATCAAATTAAGATATCCATGCAAGTCTGTATTACATTTGGCTCACGCTTTTTTAGCCATTAGTCTATTGTTGTACAATCTATATTGAAGTGAACTTGCACACATCGTTGTATGAGGTATGCGAAGGGGTTAGATAGAGTGCAGAATCAGTTAGTCCCGGGTTAAGACTGCTATTTCAGTCTCACTTGTTGCATACGGGGCCGTAATCAAAAATGATTTGATCCAGAGGAAATGACATTCTCTAGTCTGCCAAACGAAAGGGCAGCTTGTTGGAAGACGCCAGAAACGATCTAAGTCTTGCTGTAGGGTGAAAGCGCATGTCAGAATAGTTATGTTGACATATTTCTGCACCGCTATTCTTGTATTCTTCATGGCTAATTTATAGACGAACTCCCTATCTAATTCAATAAAGAAACAAAGAACTTCTGTCTCGGCTGGAAGGGTATTACTCAAAGCCTCATTACTTAAACAAAACACCGGATTTTTTATCAGGGCGTCGCCAATGAGGCTGAGAATGTCACCAAATCAAACAAAAATAGAAACGAGTTTAAAATACATGTATCAAGTCTACCATCTCTATTTCTCTATCCCTTTGCATCCTATGTTTCCTATGTTCATGTCATTAATTAACCTATATTTGGGATTTTGAATTTCTAACAACATCCCTTTTTGGCATCAGTAAACTCTTTATTGCTTAACCGGTCAAAATGAGTAAACGTATGAGTTGTAATTTCACGACACAGAAACACACATCGTCAAATTGCACCGTCTGGCTTGTTGTGATAATTCACTTAATTAGCAGGCACACCTTTCGGGTATGTACCTTTTAACTGACATTGCCCGCGTTCAGCGAGCCTGTTGCGTTCGTTTTCTGTCTTCTACCTGCAATGCAGAGAATTGCTTTTAGACGGGAATTATCGTTTTTACAGGCTAAATGTAACCTAGTCAAAACAGCATCGGACTGTGTATGTCTGTGGTTACGTCAGGTTTAAGAAACAACCAAAAGCGATTTGTGGTTCTTTCTTCCGTAATTCCCAAAGGATATATTTTATGACTGCTTCACTATATGGATATAGCTTTGGCATGGGTTATGAAGGTTGCCCCATCTAGTCCATTTCCAACGATTACGTGTTTGAAATTGAAGATAACGAATGTTGAGCGGTTGGTTTTGGTGTTAAGCAGTTGTATAATGTCGCTATTGCACTTATTCTGCACTATTTACTGGCAAAGATTTTAAAATGATGGTTCTGATGGCACCCTGGTGATGAAAAACACCAAAACCATCATGAGCCGACTCATTTAGGATGGAGTCATATTAAAACCGTCTAATGAAATAAAGTAAAATGTGTCTGGATTCCTCTTTAAACATTTAGGAAGCACATGTTCAAGTTATGTTTTGAGGATGTGGGGAATACTCAGGGAAACCTTTTAAGTGCTCCGTCTGAAACTTCTCAATGGCTACCACGTTTCTGGCAATGCCGCCTTATGAAGCATTTGAAAGGAAGGTTGGCACTAGTTAATCTATCAACAGATATAGGAACTATAAAGCTTAAACACCTCATTTTAAAAACCATGTGCAGCAGCTCGTTCTTAATGAAAAACATGCACCTCCTTTTCACAGCTGTACTGTGGAATTTTTGCAAAACCACAATGGATACCTGCACTGGCAGCCAGGTAAGGTCAGCGCAGCTGTGATACAAACAGGTCCCTAACTACATTTCATTATCTTTGTGATCCATCTACTTGGGGCGAATTCATGAATTAATCAATTAACCTGAATTGGAACAAGGTGTCCTGCCCAATAGTTCTTTTTCGTATACTCTCTGTCTCTCTCTCTCTCATTCAAGCTTTGTCTACTTACGTGGCTCGACCGTTTGAAGGAGAAGTGTTGTCACTAATATAAGTAATCGAACCATTGTCTATCTGAAAGAAAAAAGGAACAAGTTAGATTTGTAAATAAGTAATCCATGAAATAATAAATTTCAAAAGGCAAAGTAGGGTATTGCAACATATTCGAACCATAAAACTAGCATGCCATCTGGAATTCTAAATCGGGACACTTTAACAGCCTAAACACAGCCTAAACACAAGTCTTTTTTAGCACTTGATCTTCACGGCCAAGCAAACATTGAGCCCGTGTGTGTATAATAAGCAATTCAAAACGAAGACCCCTACTTCTGCTTGCGGCCTCAACGCAAACGAGAACACACTACTATGTGGCACGGCTCAGCTTTCGGTTCGGCCCCCTGTTTCCCCTGCAAGGCAAATTGGCCATTTAACTAGATGAATGGGGTATGTAATTTATCAATCACTTAATTGATTCTTCCCAAATAGCCAGGTGGGCAGACAACACCGAGAAGTGCTTATCGACAAGAATCTGATGCGCTTTGCAGGAAATCTACCGGATTTTTCAGAGGTCAAGAAAGATTTAAAAAATTCTTGAGACTATCTGATGGTGGTTTTCTGGATATCCAGGCAACATTGATTATGATAATTGACTGATTGTACGGGACTCTAGCAAGGCGACCAGTGATATCCAGGTTTTAAACAATTTTAATGACTTGATTGAACTGACCATCAGATGACCCTGAAACTAAACAAACTGACCACACCCACCTACAGTAACACCCACAAGAATGGCAACGTTGTACCTAATGCCCATTTGCAAAAGCCACGCGTGCGAGGTGCTACTCTACTCCAATGCATTGAAAAATTATTCGCACATATCCAGTCAGAGCGGTGATGTGACATTACAGGTGCAGTCGTAACCAGAAAATCTGGCAACGTACAGAGAGCAGCCAGAATACTTTGGGATTCATGTTTTCAGGCAATGCAAATATTTTTCTTCGTGTATCGAACTCACTGGGGTCTGAGTTATGTTTTGCCATTTCGACACCAACACGGTGTACCTGCATACATACACGCTGAATGATAACAAAAACAGTAATAAAAGATAAACCATTTGATATCTGGGAGATAAGTTTCTGTGTAACATCAATACCTCCCATGGTTTCCATTATAAGAAACTCTTCTAGAAATACTTCCAATGGCTGTACGAATAAGGAGTTTTGCCACATCGACAATGCGGTTTGACTCTTTGGTCTTTGCTTAAGGTGCTTGATCAACCACATAACTCAATCATCTATTTTGTGGTACAAATGACTTTGTACTCCGTTAGGATGGCGAACCAGAGTATTATCAGACTTGTTGAAGAACATATAAAAGTGACACGTTCATTCTTACTGATTGCAATTTGGAAACGGTTATTTATTTAGAGGCAATCTGCAAGCAAAACCATTTCGCAGACTGAAGGCAGATTGTTTGTATGTAGTGAAATTCCTTTGTGTGTAGCTTGCTAGTTCCAAAACACAAATAACAGTCTTACAGCGATAAAATCAAAGATATGCTGGAACACACATAGTCATGAACTGTCTATCAGTTCAAGTATCTGTTAAACCAGTCAAGTTTGATATTTTCAACAGGCACAAAGCAAATTAATCAACATGCTTTAAACTAATCACCTGCACACAGTAGCCGAAGCGAGATTAGGTGATATCAATTTAAACATCAATATTCTTTGTGAATTGGTGTAATGCAGGCGCACAGATGTGCGTTCCTCGCGGGGCTATACATTTTTTTCTGAGGCTGCAAAACAGGCGGCGTGTAGCGTACATGAAAGGCAATTCCAAGAAACAAGGGGTTTCCTTTGCCACTCAGGCCTTGGCTCGTCTGGATTGCCAACATGATAAAGAACATACTGGGTTTCCTGCTAGCGTGTTTCAACTTTTAGGCAAAGATTACTCCTAAAATACCTGACATCCAGCACCATATCCATAGAAACAACTTCTTCGTTGCTGGATATATTCTGCTTTGCACTTTGGCGCAAAAAACGAAGTGCTTTAACTTAACTCGACACTTTTTAGTGCATCAATATGGGCGTACTGGTGAGTTCAGTCGTAGTGTAATCCATTATGTGGACTGAGCACCTGTTTGTCAGAAAAAAGGCCCTTGGAAAGGTAATTGAAGGTAGCCAACTCGTCAAGTTTAAACCGTGACCACCTTCGACAACCACGTGTGGTTGGTTGACAGCTAATGAGCCGCCGCTAAGGACCCCTTCACACCACGGGAGCTGCGACAACCCGCGGAACAACTTAACACCACCGTTGACAGGTGACGGCTCATTACAAAGTAGAAAAATAAACACGTTATTTTATCAACGTAATCCCTGCGGTTGTGTGCAGTTTGTGTTGTTTTTTAAAAGTGTTTGGCTCCTCTGGAGGCCGTTACTTACACGATCATCTTTCTGTATTTTGAGCTTGACGTATGGGTGAAAGCGTGCAAGCGAAGTGCTTTAAATATTGCGACTTTTACTGAAATGGCCTCCTAGGGTAAATAAAACAATTATACTTTAAATGCTGGGAAGCAATTAGATTACAATAAAACCCTTGCACATGTAAGTCTGCTGGTAGTGTCAAATACGCTTCTGAAACATCGTTTGATATATTGCAACTTTGTCACTTTGCCCCCTATTTCATGCGTTTTAACGAAGAGGTATGTTTAGAGAGCGCTCTTACATCTTCAAGTGACGATAAAACAATTTTACTTACTTACAACCGTTTCTTTCTATTTGGTACCTGGTTGTTATATCCCGTGCCAGTGGTAATAGACAAGTAGACAAGTTAGCTACGGTCTATACATTAAGAGATGTTGCGCTTATTTGACCATTCAGAAGTGTCAAGCCCCATAAAATCTGACGTGCTGGATTTAAATCACTCATTTCTATGATGTAAATACGCCTCAAGGGTGTTGTTTTTGACTTTGGGGATTTATCTTATAATCAGAAGTACCGTTACTCGAATACAAAAAACAATATTTCAACGACAACATCTTTCACTGCAATGTTTTACGCCACTACTACGGAAACAGCCAATTTCACCCTGGTTTTGCTTCCACTGCATTATTACATTATAATTTTGCATGAATTTTGAAACACGATATCAAATTTAGTAAAAGAGAAACGTTTGTTTGACACAAAGCGTGGCCTGAATACCAATGTGCAGAAGAGACGGAAGAAGTCTAGGGCCTGAAGGCATAACCACCCCACTGAAAGTGACTTGGATAAATTAAATTTTTGCCAATCAGACTTGTAGATTTTATCTCCCGCCGATTTAATTTGTACTTCTTGGTATCACTTTGCGCTCTTTGTCGCAAACTGAAGGACTAAATTCAGAAAAAGTTTTTTTCTGTGTTGTTACCATTCTCCAGACCATTTTAAGATTTGAGGTGCGAACAATGTCTCTTGTTTCAGATCTACACGAAATGCGCTTTTCTCAACTATGTGAATTCATAAGGAGCTTAAGAATGCTTTAGAATATCCAATAACAAAAACTGACATGTAGACATAACGTAAAAAATAGGGATAATTTGATCCAGGGTCTTGTATCCTTTTCGCATAAAACTTATGTCTGTACTCTGCTGGCCCAGTTTACAAAAGATGCCTGCCGAACGACCCAGAGTTATGTCAAACGGTTAAAAATATGGAATTATGACAACAAACATGTTTACATAATCTGTAACAGTTTTAAAGAACAGTCCTTAGAGAAGCATATACTTGCCAGATGTCAGCCCTATAAATCTTTAACAGTACATGGGCGGGATACTCCAAACAGCAGCAGACGAAAACTGTGAGGTAAACTTTCCTTCGTTTTCGAAGGTTTACCTTCTCTATATTCTATCTCTCTTTCTACCTGTATATCCCAGCTCTAATCACCTTTTAAGTTCCACAAGATATGCACCGTTCTTCCCTTTTCTCCTTCAGGTTTCCATGTGAGGGGGGCTCACTTGAATGTATTCACCAGTACTTTTAACTTCTCCCTCGGCTTGACTCAACGTCCTCCCTCCTCTCTCTCTCTCTCGGTGCGAATGCTGGGAGCTGCTGCAACCTAAAAGAAGCCAATAAACAACTACTCTCAATCTTACATTCACTTCATTGCGTTTAAGTAATCCCAGCCGTGCCTTGTGGTTTGTAAAGCAGCGTTATGCCTGGAAGCAGACGACTACTGGTATTTCCTCTCCTCCGCCAAAGCCCAGAGCCCTGATTGGTCAGAGGAGTTCGTCTGGGAATAATTGATGTATATGTATGAAAAAATGGAAAATGGGTCATTTTAGGCGAACCGGGGTTCCTTCTTTCTCCATCGATTACACAGCTACAAACCCCTTCTATCTTTCTATCTTGCCCTCAGCCACCGGATGCCTAACAACGATTTTTTGAGATAATGCTATCTTGGGCTTAGTTCATTGAGCTAAAACAAAGATGCGTCAGGCACTTCAAGCAAGGACCGGTTGTCTCCCCAATGGTAAAATAACCAGACATACTCGTATCCTGAGTTTTGTAGATTACATATTTCACACGTTTAGAAAATGCGGCAACATTGAAAGACAAGCAAACAGATTCATGATAACGAAAATGGCACGGCAATGTTTAGCATTCACTCGACCCAAAAGCGCATGACACGCGATGTGTATTTGTTTAAAGTATACACGGTACAAAACATATGCATGGCCTAATGTCACATACCTATTAGTTCGTCAACATTACAGCTGTCAAAATTGCGAATCAATATCCTGAACAAAAACACAGGTAGCTCGCGATAAGTAAGCCATGTTGCGCGTTTGCTCTGAACGTCGCTTTTACACTCAATTAATCGAATTAATATATTTTGACAGATGTCACCCTGTCCTTTGGACCGTTGAGGGGAGTTTAAAGGTTGTCATCTCGAGTGAGACCAAGAAGCACTCCCTACGGTCGTTAATTGAGGTATCAAATATGGCAACAAATACTACACACCAGACGAGGTGAGGTAAGTCGTAGTAAATGCCACGAGCTCCGACGATGAGCAGATAATAGCAGTATTCACAGTGGCCTGGCACTTTTGCTGTATCCTTTTCTATTGCGTGCACAATGATTTATTACAAAATGTCAAACAAAGGTTATCTCACAATGATGGGAATAAATATATCAAAATTCCTTCAGGCACGTGTTGCGTCGGACCTATGACGGCTGCAACTTTCCCTTGCCTAACACACTTTATGCATTGTTTCGTAAGTCTTAACTGAACCAGTATTCGCTGTATGTGTGTCATAGTTTACAAAACTTTTATGCCGTTTGAGGCCAAATTATCTAATTCATGTTAAAAACTATTTTCTAGCACTATGCGCTTGTGATGAATATGATCTAAAGAAATATTTGCACAAACCATTATTTTGATACTCACCAAAACCAAATACACCCGTTTTTAATGTTCATAAAACAACATCACGATGAATCATCGTTATGAAATCCACCTTAAATCAACTGAAAAATGAAACATATTTGATCAACGCATTTCCTGTCCTGTCTGAGTCTGCCCCGTTCCCATATTTGCTTAACTTCCATGTAAGCACATATTGCGTCCGTCTGATTTATGGCCAGTTCGTTTCTTAAACAAATTTGACTTCGTGATTTCCAAATGGCTACTTCAAATCCGATATTACTCTCACCATGCCCTTCAAATTCGCACAAAGAACTTTTTGAAATGAAAAGCATCGAGTGTCGGCTTGACACCTGACTCTGATACAATATCAACAACGTCTGCAGACAAATGAATGCCCAGACTGATACTTACGCCGCACCCCCGGACCCCGTGAATACTCGACTCAAAAGTGAAGTTATTATGACTGGTAACCGGGATTTAAACAAATGAAGTTTGCTTTGAAGCAATTGTTTCCTATGTCATACTGTATTTACATGTTATTTTAATTTCGCGTGCCATTGCCTTTTAAGTTTTTTCTTAGGCAAAGACCAGGTTATACAGTAGGGAGTAGCCTTACGTTTTAATCTTTACTATCCAATCATAAAACCTCCCTATCCCGCAAAGTTCAAAATTCCTTTCTATTATTCACACGTTTAATGTTTTTCCATAAAAGTTAAATACTTTTATAGCAAAAACAATGCAAGCAATTGGCAGAACAGGCATACACAACTTTGAAACTACTCACAATTGTCGAATAAAAAAAGACATTCAAAACAAGCATTTACACAAATATGTCAGTAGACAGCTCTAAGCGATGTGAAATTTAGATTGATTGAGTTAAATGATCCACCGACAACTTGAGCCAATTCGTCTTTGTAAGCAAGTGACTGACCAAAGCTAGAGCTGTCTGATCAGGCTCGGTGGGTGTCACACAGAATGAGCATTGCTGTGATACATGTACCCGTCCTCCGTGTAATAAGAAAAACGTGAGGGAAAATTCACGTGAAGGACTTAATTCTGTTGCCTTTTAATGATTGGGGCGCGTTTAAAATCGGGAGTTCCATCGCTCCTCTACGCGGCCTCTTCCCAGTGTGCATAAAATTTCCAGACATAATCCCCTTGCAGTTTAAGATTGCTCAGTAAGAGAATGAACCGCATGAACTTTCCGTGGAGGTCTCTCTGTCTAGCTATCACCGTATAAGTTGTCACCCCGTAGCACCTCTTATCCGCTTTCCTGTATTACGCCACTTTATACGGCTTTCTCCCGTAAAAAAGGTCATCCACTTTAATCATTTTTTTAAATACCCATTATGTGGAAAGTACAATCTAATTGGTTTTAATCCCCCTGCCTGCAGGTATAGATTTCCTTTGTTTCATTTCCTTATTATATGTTCAGAGGTTGACGACGGAAGTTGCTAAAATGCTTAGCAGGTTTCCTAACGTCATGTTACAGTGAAATTTATTTTAGGCACAAAACTAATAAACTGGAAACAAATTGAATCTATTTTAAGGACTAACGCCCAATCTTATTAAGAGAGTTAAGAGTCACAGTCAAGAATGCGTGGCTAAAGAGAGAGAGAGGAGGTAAAGAAGAATGAAGAGATTCAGGGAAATGACTACTAACGTAAACATGCTGTATCGGTAATGTTTCCATCGGGTCGTTTGGGACTTTGTACCCTAACGAATACCAGTCAATCGACAAAAACGACAACCTTAGAGAGGTGAAGGTGGATAGTTTTCACAGTAGCCGTGTTTTTATTCAAGGTCCATGAAAATCTCACATAAAAGCTTGAAACTCCACAGAACGAAGCCATCAGCGGCTTGTCCAGAGCGATTAGGAGGTTATGTTTTTCCAACCATTTGTCCTTAACTTTTGTATACTAATAATATAACATAATAATATAATATAATATACATATTAATATTCTTAGACAAGGGGTTGTTGTACGGGTCTTCTTTCATGTAAAACAAATACCAAAGTTATTCAATTACGGCTTCAATGCTGTATAACTTTGGATAGGCGTTTTACCTTACCTAGCATTCCTCTTTCCTAATGTGCGACCCTGTATTTTTTTTCTACGCTTTCAGTAGGGATAAGGATGATGTATGTACATAAAAAATACACAGAAGGTTCCATTCATCACGCCCTGAACTGATCAAAGCCACGACCTACAGGTCATTGATCTATGGTTCGGAAATACCTCAACTGGAAGGAGTCGACTAATGTATTTAAATTTTCCCAAGAAAAATATGCATCAAATATTTTTCCTGTTTATAGACAACGAATAGAGCTCTTGAACAGAAACATGCTTTGCAGTGTTCAGAAAGAGAGAGAGAGGGGGACAGAGAAAGTAGATTTAAGACGAACTTACAGAAAGGCAAACAAACACAAATACAAACTGTGATAGTAACAGACAGATACACAAACAGATACGCAATCAGTTTGACAGACACAGGCAGACAAAGTTGCACAATGAAATGGACATTGTGACAGGCAAACAGACACACAGACAGACAGGGATTGGCTTCCGTATGGGAGAAGATCTAAAGACTAAACCCAATGTGTTAGTACGGCTGGAAGCAAGGCTACTTTAAAAAAATTAACACAGTCGGTGCTGATTTGACATAACCTTGAAAAATATGAACACACATTTTAGAGTACAATGGAAACCGCAAAACTAATTCATTACAAACAGGTGATGCCATTAATATTAACTAACGCTGGGGACTGTACTCCTACACAGCCTACACGCTGTCACCTTCAACCCAAAGAGACTGTAATGCATGGTGGCACCCGAAAATGTCGATTCTTTTGCCAGCTGAGAGAGCTAGAGGTCTAACAACGCTGCACTGTGTTTTCTGTGTTGACGGCGTCCCACACTTAAAGGCAGTGCTATTTTACTTAACCGGTCACCGCCTACGAACTCCAACCACCCCGACGCATCGAACCAAGATGTTTTGGGGGCGCGTTTACACCAGAAAGAACGGTCTGTGTTTCAAATTGTAATCATGGGATCGATAACATTTGGTTCAAGCGGTTCTAATGACTTGACGGTATGACAAACCTAGGAACTAAGTCATCGTGAGCTTATAACTACATGTCAAAATGTTCAAGACAGGGCAAGTGTGAATGCCTATGGTTATTTAAACACCAGAGTGTGTCAATGACCCCACCAAACTTACATGGAGAAGATTTATGATGTATATATGTACGTTTATCTGTTATACGCATTCACATGTGTGATATATACTTAGGCGATTTGTGGTCAAATGCCTGTGAAAATGCTGATCAGTTCGCCAGATGACAATAAAACATTTTATCCCTATTTGCTTAAAATGAAAGAGAATTTCTAGGCTAGTTAGTATTCATATTTTTTGTATCCATGTATTTCCTTTTTTCCCCAAAATCGGTGGGAAGGATATTAACGAAAAACGGCAACAGCGGTGGTTCTTGTCACCCATATAAGTCAGAATTTGACAAATTTCCACAATTTCTGCAAACCACTTGAAAAACACTCGACTTAAGCGTTGAAAACAATTACTTAATCATTCGAGACCGGAAAAATTTTTACACCCATGGATTGGCGTGCCACTTTTTAATCCTCGGGTGGGGCTGCCTGTGATACATGTTTGAGGACCATAAACCAGTA